GGCTGTGTGGAGACCTCACAGCAGCCTTCCAGTATCTAAAGGGGGGCTATAGGGATGCTGGGGAAGGACTCTTCACTAGGGACTGTAGTGGTAGGACGAGGGGTAATGGGTTAAAACTTAAAACAGGGGAAGTCCAGGTTGGATATAAGGAAGAAATTCTTTATTGTAAGGGTGGTAAGGCACTGGAAAGGGTTGCCCAGGGAAGTTGTGAATGCTCCACTCCTGGAAGTGTTCAAGGCCAATTTGGACGTAGTTTTGGGTGACATGGTTTAGTGTGAAGTGTCCCTGCCCATGGCAGGGGGGTTGGAACTAGATGATCTTAAGGTCCTTTCCAATCATTACCATTTTGTGATTCTATGAATGAGTTACTGATACAGCTGTATGGTGTTTTCACCATTCTTTTTTTCCAGGCTCACTCACACTCTTAAAACAGTCTGAAGACACCCCGTTTGACCTTGCTTCAATTCACTTAGACACTTTCCACTACAGATGTTGTCATTGCCACTGACAGCTACTAGATGAGTTTCAGAGACAAATTCCAAACAGAGAAATTTCTAAACTCTTACAAAGCTTGGACTAGAGACTTCAAGCCTGTCTCATAATTGAACAGGGAAGCTGTAGCTGAACAAGTGACAAGAAATGTGTTGTTCTTTGCAAAAGTGAAATTATTATATGAAAGAGCTCAGCTTCTCCTTTGGCTTTTAAAGTCCTTTTTCATAGACATTTTTTGCCTTTGTTTTCCCAACTTATCTTCTCAGTAGTGTTTCTGTTTTGACGTGTTGCAGATCAGACAGTCATGATCTTTTGGGTTTTTTTGTGCATCCTGATACCCTAAATTATCAGATTTTGTAAAATGTATGTCTGCATCTTTTAAAAATGGTGTTTTTTTAACTTGCTGTTTTCTCTTGGATTCACACTCCACTGGCAGCATCACAAACTTAACAAGTAGAAAGAAGCTGGTCTGTATAAAATAAGAAGCTTTTTTGAGAGTGTGTGTAATATTGTGTTGGTGGTGATTAGTAGAAAAGCACAGAGGCAATTTAAAAGAAAAATAGGTTAATATAGGTTAATATGTGGTGTGGTGGGTTTGCCATGGCCAACAGCCAGACACCCATGCAGCTGCTCACTCACCCTCCTCAACAGAACAGGGGAGAAAATACCATGGCAAGGCTCATCCCTTGATGTAATTCAAGGAGACTGCTCACCAGTTACTGTCATGGGCAAAGCAGGCTTGGCTTGGGGAAAATTAATTCAATTTGCTGCCATTTAAAATAGTTTCGTGTAGTGAGAAGCATTTAGAAATTAAAACATGTTCCCCCCCATCCTTTCCCCCTTCTTCTTAGGCTCAGCTTCAGTCCTTCATTCCTGAGTCATCTTATCTCCTTCCCACCCTGAGAATCTCAGGAGGATGGGGATAAGGCATTGCAGTCAGTCCACAGTACCTCCTCTCTGCTTTTCCCTCACACTTTTCCCCTACTCCACCATGGATCCTGTCCATGGTCTGCAGTGCAAAATCTTCTATTTATTTACATGTTCATGTTCATGTGTTCTTGCTTTGGGTTTTATAATTTAATTTCTTTGTAGAAGAACCTGAAATCTTAGAAAGGATGAGATATTGTACTAAGCCATTTAACAGATGAAAATTATGCTACTGTCATCAAAACAGTAGCAATTTGAATACAACAGAGTTGCCTTTTTCTATCTGTTTTGAATTGTAAAATCATTAGTGCATTAGACTTTCTGCCTAGTTTTGATTTGCTTCATTCTCTTTAATAAGAAATGTTAATATGTATTGCAAATTAAAAATGAAGATGTAGCCAAACAATTCTCTAAAGGTCACTCATCTTGTTTTAAAGTTAAATGAAATATTTACCCTAGAAATGTTTTTCACATGAATATTTAGAATCATAGAATAGTTAGGGTTGGAAAGGACCTTCAGATCATCTAGTTCCAACCCCCCTGCCAGGGGCAGGGACACCTCACACTAAAGCCCTTACATGTAGCTTGTAGTTCTTAAAAAAAGAAAACAACCAGACAATCAAATCTGAAAATTTATTTGGTTCCTTTCATTATGGGTATTTCACCAAAAATTATATTCTGCATGGTGTTTGCTTTTCTGAATAAAAATGAAATTGATCCATTAGCAGTACATCATTGTACAGATACTCCCAGGAGGTGGTGTTTGTTGATGAGACTGACAAACATGAGCCTCCTACCACCAGCTTATTCCCTTCTTGCAAATGAGTTATATGAAAAAGAGGAAGTCTTATTCCAAATAAAAATTAAACATTCAATCAGTAAAACATTCACCCTTATCATCGGTGCAGCAGGTGGAAATAAGAATGGTGGGGGGGGTTTGTCTCAGTTTAAGAGCTGAGTAGTCCGGTAGCACACAGGGCGATGTGCTTGGACCAGCCCCAGGATAGCTGTCTGGAGTGTCAGCAGCAGGGCTATGAAAGCCAGGCTGCCACCATGTGCTGGGGAAAAAAGAAGGTTGCCCTGGTAGTCAGAGCCAGCACTCCCTGCTACTGCTTTGTGTGACTGCTGGCATCACGTCTCAGTGTAGGGATGCAGTTCTCTAAAGATATCAGACACAACTGCCTTTAGCCATGGCATTGGTTACCCAAATTACCCGGGGATATAGCTGCACAGACTGCACTGACAAATGAATCTCTGTCTCAGTCAAGTTTTTTGAGTTCAGAAGAGGTGTTCCCAATAATCTTGTGTCAAAGCACTCGCACTTCTCCATGAAACATTTTCTCCTTGGCTCCTGGAAGAGAACTGATGAAAAGTCATGTGTTGCCTGATTAATGTTTCTACCACTTGCTTCTGTCCTTTCTGCTGGTCTGCATCTGTGATTGTTTCTTGCATTATCTATCCCCAGATTATAAAAATCTTTGGAGGATGCATCATCTCTTTGCCTGGCAGCGCTTCCCCCCTCTACACATTCTCAGCTCCTGAGGCTTCTTTCTGGTCATATCCTCTCTTTGGCAGGAAATTCCTTCAGTGTCATCACTTTGAGGGGTGGCCTTTTGAAGCACTTTGTTCTCAAAATGTACTGCTTAGTGCCTAACCTCAAATGAAAGCCAGACAAGTCTGCTACATGGTAATATATAACGAATTGTGATATGAACAACGAATATATGTAAGCCATACACTTGCATAAAATGGTCAGTTTGTACATAGCATTCCTCCTGTGAAATTGCTCTGAGTAAATCAAGAAACAAAGGTTTTGATTTATGTAATTAAGTGAAACACAGGAGTATAACTGCTTGGTAGACAAAACCAAAGGCAAAATTATTAATAACTGTAGTTTGCCAATGATTGTTTAAAAACAAAATTAAAAGCAAAGAGGAAAGCATTTTGTGTGACACCAGAACTGAGGTTATCTATTATAACTCTGGTATAGATTCATATAAAATGAGCAAAAAAATCTTTCAGACCATGCATCTTTAAATAGACTTGTCTTTGCATGCACATACAATTCTTACTGTTCCTCAGAGCGTTTATTTATTGATGAGGACTCTGTAAAGGTAGGAGGATTGGATTAGATATTATGCTAAACACATTCCCGTATTACTGTTGTTTCACTGTACTTCTTAAGCTCCCAGAAAGGATTTTCATTTTGTGTATATTTTAAAGAAACATTCTTTATTTTCAGATAAAAGTTTGGAAAAGTAGCTTTTTTCTTTTTAAAATTCTGAAGATCCAGACTATTCAGGATGACTTTAGGAGAATTCCTATTTGAAAATTCAACTTCACACTTGCCCTTTTCCTTTGTGTTTTTCTTTCTGTCTGCAGAAAAAGGATGCACAAAGATAGTTTCTGTGGGTTTAGGAAGCAGATGATAACACACAAAGCCCTGTATTTAAGTGCACTGTGGTGTTTTGATTTTTAATTAATGGTAGTTTTTGAAAACTTCAAAGCAGGTCATTAGAGGGCTGAGCTCAGACAGTGGTGTCAGCAATTGAAAATGGAGAGGGTCGTCTGTCTGCCCTTTATTGTGTGTGTGAGGGGTGGGGGATGGTATCTGTTTATTTGAAATTTTCTTAGTTGGTCTCCAAATAGGAGAGGAAAACAAATTCCAAAGCAAAAAAGAAGGAAAATGTTATCTAATCACAGCTTCTGAGTCAACGACGTCAAGCAGTAACCTTCTCTTTCTCACCATATTTCCTTTAGACTATAAGCTATTTAATACAGATAGAAATTACCTCATCCATCATAGTAATGTAGTCCTTTTTCACTACATAGTGGGTTTAACAGGGCTGGGCATGGGAGGAGGTGAAGAATAATATCCCCTTTAGTTGAATTTACAGATTGGAATGTGGGGAGGAGGAATGGCCCATTCTGGCGCCCAGCCAGCATCCCAGGTTGTCAGCCTCCTGCTAATGAAAAATGCTTTAGTGACTGCACCGACCAGGTGCCAGGATACAAAATACATGTGTTCACTATTGTACTTGCGTCTATCGTGGATGTTGAGCAGTAACTTAACGTAGGGACATGACCTGCACATGCTCTTGCTCTGTGCTGACTAGACTGCAGTGTGTGAGGAAGATGAGCTCTTCTTGAGTGCACTGGGGGTGAGAGTAGGTGTCAGGCATTATCATGGAGAAATAAAGCCACTTCTTAGCTTGTAGTGATTTCTTCACTTGACGTTGCTGTTAGAATATTTTTGCCTTCTATTGTAATTTTCAGCAGCACATCACTTTTTCCTGCTGTTTCCAGTCACAATAATGATGCTACTTAGGACATTCAAAGGTGACCTGATGTGCACACAGGTAATTAAGTTTGGTGTAATTTTAAATTCAGGTTTGTAAAGGACAGCATGGCATTGGTTTTCTGAAAGGAAAACTGATAATTGTCAAATATTTAAAATTTAGCAATGAAATTGCAGTTGGCAAGTCCTTGCAGTAGCAATATTTTCAATATTTTATTTTCTCCGTGTTTCTTATGCCAGTCTAGAACATGAGTGTCATAGGTTTGGGTTTTTTTCTCCTCAGAATATGAAGGCATGGGCTTGGACTTCTCCTGTAGCATTGCAGTAGCAAAAGAGCTGGGACATATCCACTGTGAAGGTATTTCTATGGCTATTTTTATTGCAGGCTGGCATGGCTACTACTCCTGCTCTTACAAGGTAATTTTCAGAAGGTTGGTTCAGCCTAAAACCCAGCTTGTCATGTGTTTTGGCCTAAAACCCAATCTGTATAAAAGCAGGAAAAAAACCCATTACTGTGAAGATTTACTGTCTCACTGCTCTTCAGTAATCATAGAATCATAGAACAGTTAGGGTTGGAAAGGACCTTAAGATCATCAAGTTCCAACCCCCCTGCCATGGGCAGGGACACCTCACACTAAACCATCTCAGCCAAGGCTTCATCCAGCCTGGTCTTGAACACTGCCAGGGATGGAGCATTCACAACCTCCTTGGGCCACCTATTCCAGTGCCTCACCACCCTTACAGGAAAGAATTTCCTCCTCATATCCAGTTTAAACGCCTGAAAAGAACGTACTGTCTACTTCTGTTTGGTTTAGGGAAGAAAATAATGCTTTTGGGTTGTCTTTGTTTTTATTTTTTTAATGTTAGAATACTACATATTACAACATAGGCCTTATATAATAGCAGATGATATGTTTACCAGAACCTTGGTGCCAGAGGCAATAAAAAATTTTAGTTCCAGAACACAAACACAATGTTTGTGTTCTTTCTTAGCCAGAGATCCCACTGCAGTCATACTAAGAATGTACTTAGTTATAATGATTAGGTTCAGTCTAATTCTATTTTATAATTTACTTGCTGTAAGTAAAGTAGTAATGGTCAATGTTGGTGTGAGTCCTAAAGCATATGTATCATGCTTCTTAAATAGGCCCATTCCAGGCAATCACTCATTTTGCTTTTTCTCATTTGCTAGTGTCAGTGTTCCCCTTTCATCTCTTGCTTTCATTCAGGCTCCTGCACTTCCTGAATTTGTTTTATTGGAGCTTTTTCCTCCCTCAGTAAAAGTGGCAGTTATCTATTTTTTCTTCATGTAGTAGTTTCGCAAACATTCTGCATCAAAACAGCAGTTTGTGGAACTAGAGGGAAGCGACAGGCTGCTGCAGCAGTTTGCCCCTGGTATATGGATACACCCAAAATTCTGGAAGGTTAGGGTGGTGATTAAATTCAAATAATGATGATGGAGTCAGGAATTTCTCTGCACAAAGCATACACATGAGGGAAATTTTTGCACAGAAGAGCATTTTAGGGCTGGGTTGTTTGTTGGTGGTCCTGTCCACTGTATGGTCTGGAACTTAGGCTCTGTTTCCTTCATATCCATTTATCCTGCTGAGTTCTTTGGAGGTCTCAACCATGGGAAATCTTTCCAATAGTTTCTTCTCCTTTGTGTAGTACACCAAAAACTTGCTGAAAGCATGGAGTTCGGTATGTCTGTTTCAACTGTATTCAACTGGGAATAAAAGTACCATTTTAAAAGACTTCAGAGAACCATACTTTGTCCCTGTGATAGCCTTTCATTCCCAGGAGTTTAAAAAAATCTGTGGGCAAAGGAAAACAGGATTTTTTTCCATTACATTTTTTCTTTGCCTTCTATTTACTCGGTTCTGCTGTAGTAAAACAATGAAACTACGTACATCTGTGCTAGTAAAATCCTAAAGGGGATGTTCTTGGAAAGTAAATGTGAAAATGTTTTCAACATGATGACATCTGTAATTGAATTTGCATCTGTATTAATGAACTTTTCCTTCACTGTTATGTCAATTCCACTGATTAGTTATACAGTGCAGTTTACCACTCATAAGGTGGAAAAATGAAACTTCATAACAAAAAGGGAAAAGGTGGTTGTTGCAGGAAATTTTGCATGGGTGCAGCTTTACTTCATGCCATATAGTGAGAGGGCTAACTGCTTGCCCTGGGTCATGGATTCAAATTGCATGCACAAACTGGATGGCTTCTTTAAACGTATCTGTGTTCTGTGGTGATCCTAAACATGTTCAAAGAGATAATCCAAATTTCACAATTTAACTATACATCGTTACACATGATGCATCATGCATGATGCACAAAGTAAACAATAATATGGGAATCAACCATCATCCCGTAAAACAACTTCAAAAAGGAAGTCTGGAGCCTGTTGTTGGCTTTTGTACCTTTGGGTTTTATTCTGCATTCATCAGGCATTTATCAGTGTACCTGCAAACCAACTCGGTGAATGTGATACGTCATAAAGTATCACATGCTGCTATAAGTTAGAGATGTTCCCTTAGGTAGATATATAGACAGCACAGTAGTTTGAACAGATGGATACACATATGCAGATGCACACAGCTTTTAAAATTTTAATACTTTGGAGAAATAAAGTCTTAAAAGATCAAGAGTCAGGGTGCCTTCTGATGCTGTTTCTGCAACTTCCTTCTCACTTCAATGGCAAGCTATTGCAAGGCTTAGTTTGTGAAGGTCTTTGAGATACTCACTTAAATGGGAAGGAGATTATAGTAACGGTTTTAATTATATAAATAATACATTTTGAAAATGTTACCTGTGTCTGCCTCTTCACTGAACCTGCCCCTTTTTAGTTCATTCATTATGATTTTATTTTTTTTTTTACAATCTTCAGGAAGTTATATCTGTGACCATATTGAGAAGAAACCCTGCAGATTTTGATTTAGAAACATTTCTCTTGTGCAGACAAATAGAGGAGAAAATAGTTTTGTTTCACTTGAAGACGCCCAGACTGCTTCATTTTCCCTTCCCTCTTCCCTTCCCTGATTCTTCTAAGTAAAGCAATAGCACTTTCTAAACTAAATGAAAAATGTTTTGTCAGAAGTGATCTGATCTTTGATGTACCTGGTTCTGAATATAACTCTTTTTCAGATCTTTCAAATGCATTCAGATATAACACTTGCTTTCATGCTTGCAAGTGGAGTGGAGAAAGCAGCTCTCAGCTAAGACAGTGAATGAGATACATTTCACTGGGCTTGTAAATAAACCTACAAGGTGACACATAGTGATACCAGATCAGTGTAGTGCTCCTTTATCTCAGCAGTAGGCAGTAAACTTTTCTTTTTTTTCCTCCTATTATTTATAGGAAATAAATAAGAATGATGATCCTTTAGTGGTAAGAGAGTGCTTTTCTATTTCATCAGCGGACTCATCACTGATTCTTTCTCCTAACAGCAGCATAACTGAGTAAATATCAAATTTAGTTTTACTGTCTCTTTTCCTGTTTGCTGTAAAGGAGAGAAGTGCAGCTGACAATCAGAATGGCAGGTTTGAAAAGGAGCATCATCCACTTGATCAGCTGGGAAAAGGGTGAAAATGGGATGCCATTCCAGAGCCAAGCAGCTTTCCCACTACCATAGTGTAAGGGAGGCTTGGTTTTCTGGTTCTTCAATAACAGATACACTGATCTGTCTCATTCTTACATTTAGTATTTAATTTGTGTAGTGCACATAAGGTAGGCTAGAGCAGAGACCTGGTGCAGGTGCAGCTTTCAACATTCATTAAGCATTACTGCCATGATGGCTAGTTATGTTGCAGCCATGGCCAGTTTGCTGCTTTATGGTTCTGAATACCTGTGAGGGTCTAACCTGGTTTCAGAACAATATGAAGTCAAGCAGCTGCTTCTGAACTAGCTTTCCTTGAAGCATCTTCCTGCTGTTCCTATACCTTTGAGGTTTTTCCAGCTCCTGGTGACAGCCTGGCCATGTGACAGTGATAGGTTGTCTGGTGGGCAGCCTTGAGAACTGGTGTGGTAGCAGCGGGACACGAACCACGTGAGTAGCTCTTAGAAACTGCATGATTTCAAGAGGGTAATCTTTAATATGACTCTTCTTCTATAACACCTGCATTTTAGTGCATAATGCATCTCTAAATAAATAGAATATTGACATAATAATTCTTAACCAAAACCCTTCAGGCAGTCGCATCTGCATTAGGTAGCCATACCTATCAGGTAGTCTCATACAGGCTCCTCATCTGTATTCTTTGCAGAACGTAGCAATAGCTCAAACTGAGCAATTTATTTCATAAAATCTTCAAATAACTGAAGCTTAAAGGCTTGATAAAAACTGGGAGTCAGAAAGTTTTTCTTATGCTGTCTTTCACAGAAAGTAAATAAGTTTTCTAGATGCATTTTTTTTAAGCTTTTATATCTTCTTAACTGAAATAGGAACTTGAGGAGAGAAAGCTGACAGCAGTGTGGGTTCTTTTAAATCCAGGTTATGTAAATTACTGAACTTAATGAGGCTCCCATGCTGCTCAAGGGTGCTCACTGCTATTCACCATGCATTTCTAACCCTTTCTGTGCCTTTAAAGAGCGTCTCTTCCCTTTTGTTTTGTTTTTGTGATTTTTCTTTTTGTTGTTGTTGTTTTGGGGTTTTTTGTTGTTTGGAAGTGGGGGTTTTATATTTAGTTGGGGTTTTTGGGGGGCGGGGGGGTGTTTGTTTGTCTTTCCTTTTTTCTTGTATCTTGAAGATCCAAGGAGTACTGCTAAGCTGGACCTGGACATCAGATGGTAGGATGCCTGTGCAGTACTACAGTGCAGCAAAAGCATGGCATGTGGCTATTGCTTTATTAATAGTTTGAGTCTAGGAGTGGAACAGAGAGAAATTCACCTGTTGCTAGAACTTAAGAAGTGTCTGTAGGTCAAAGTTAACTTCTCCTTGCTTAAAGGAAATCTCTATATTCCTAGGAAGTCCACGAGTAAACAATTGTGTCATCTTTGAGATACTGTAGAATAGTGCGTAGATAATCTAAAAACTTCTCTCTGCGCCCCCACCCCTTATGTTGCTGGTGAATAGTGCTTGAATGTGTGAGCTCCAGTGCAAGAAAGCTTGAGTTGATGAAATGCTGATAACCATGTTAGAACTGCCTGCAGCTGTTCAGAGTCAGAATTTCAATTTGCACTTAATAGTGTATCATACTACAGAAAATATGCCAGTTTTACTCAGAATTTTGATTATTAATTTAATTATTTCACTTCGACTCAGCTTTATTCCCCAGAAGCAGAAGAAACAAAAGTGAGTAATGTCTGTGGTTCTACCAAGGTGATTATCAGTCCAATTGAGTCAGAATAGTGATGTGAAATAGGCATTGTCACTCAATGTAGCAATCTAACCTGTCAGAAACCAGATTTGTATATGTGTATCTGAAATACAGAAAGGTAAGTTCAAATTTCTGATTGTCAGAGCACATAAACAGAACTACGTAGATCAAGGGAGTGTTCTTACATCTGTATTTTGCCATGGTTTTATTTTCCTTTTACCCACCATTGACATCATTGTATACCACTGTCATTTTTATGTTTGTATTCATGACATTCCATCAATGTCACTTATAAGGTGTGGAGCAAGAAAGGGTGGACCACTTCCGTGCAACTTGTACTGTATCAGAATCTCACACTTGGATTTCTGGATTACTCAGCATCAAAAAGGAGCTGTAGACTGTAGACGTGTGCATACATACACGCATGCATGAAAGTACATTTTAAAGCAGTGCTAAAGCTGCACAGTTAATCACATGGGAAACTCTGCTTTAGGGCGTAGCCCCTGCCCAGAAAGCAGACCTAGTCTGTTCTGTCCTGAGCCAGAGCATGATTTCATTGCAAACAGTTTTCTAATTCTGAGGCTGTTAAACTGGAAAGAAGTGGGTATTTGTGCAAACCTGAGATTTTTTTCTGGGATGCATTTAAGATGGGTAGAATTTCACAGAAACAACATGTTTCTAACACAATATCTAGCTGCTTGCTGAGCTGCATGTTCTTCCTGCAAGGCATAGAGATGCATGATCTTCTGAAGATAATGTTGCCAAACTCTTTTTTTAATTGCGAAAGATCATGTTCTGTAGCCTCATTTTTGGGAAGAGCTGAATTGTTTTCTGGAACTTAAACCAAACAAAGAAAGATACCAAACCAAAATATTATTCTGAGAAAAGTTCTTGTCATGGAAATCCTCTGCTGAAATAACTAAAGGTTGGCAAAGTTTTAAGCATCAGAAAGCATTGCCAGAAATTCCTGCTAGCTCCTTGCATAATCTGATTTTTTTATGTTGTTTGGAGTTTTTAGTCTAATTAATGTTCAGCTGGCTGTACTTCATCATGTCCCAAGGGAAAGAAAAAAACATGTGAAAAACACTGTGTAACAGATGAGGGGTCTTTGTCCCAGTATGCTGGAGGAAGGAGTAAACACTCAAAGTTTGCTGCTTGTATTTGGGGTTGCTGCAGTAATTATCAGCCCGGACAGGACTAGGAATTGAGCTCCTTGTGTGCACAAGCTGAAAGTGTCTGCCAGCTACCAGTCTGTTCTCTGACTATCCCGTGACCTTTGACTGTTTTGTGTCAGGGTTGGAGCAGAGGAGAAAGGACAAAGTCTTAGTTAAAATGGCATTGCTTCTTTGGAAGTAGTGTTTTAAAAGAAGGGCCCAGGTAACTGCAGCCTGTTTAGGCAGCCAAAGAGCCTGAAGAGATGAGTTAAGATGTTGATGTGAGAAGCCTCACACTGAAGAGGAGGCTGAGGAGGAACTTGACTTTCATGGATTTCTGGTCACTGAAGAGACATCTCATGTCTTAAATCTAGCATGAGAGAGGTTCAAGAACTAGATCACAGGCTCACCACTTGTGCGGCAAGACCAAATCAATGAATGTTCATTAGGACAAAATAAAACGTGAAATGAGACAGACTGTGTTTTGAATGGATGAAAGCAGTGAAATGCTGAAAAAATAGAATGCCTCTTAACTGAGTTGAAATATGGTCAAGTGTTTTTTTGTGTTAAAATACAATCAGCAGTTTGCTGTTTCACTTTCTATTTTTGTGCAGAACTAAACCTATAAGAAGAAGCATTGATGGTTTTCATTGTGTGATTTAAGTTCATATGTGGAATATTAATAGTGTAAATACAGCTATTTGCAGGGGGTGGCCATCACATGTCATAACTTTTCAGTCACCACTAAAACATGGCAAAGAGCTGGTGCAAAAGTCAGGAGGTAGGCAGAGAGCAGGTCCTCCATCCTGGCTGACTGCAGACTGAAGCAACAGCATTGAGGGGAAACCCCAGGGACTATGTTTATTTAGATCTGATAGCTCTCAAGACAAGTCAAATATGAGATTTGGGGCATCTAGACCACACATTTCTGTGGGAGTAGGATGCCTGAATACTTAAAAACCTCGTTTAAAATTATTGTGGCTGGACTTACGGTGAAGGCTCTGAATCACAACTTTGGGGGTATCTATTCTGTCTTTGGCTCTGGGACAGGTTTTACCTAGTCATAGGAAAATCGGTCACTGTGTGGGTAGAACAAAATTTGTAACTAACTTGTAAACAAAGTTTACCTTCAAAACCATCCAATAGCCTATCATTTTCATTATGTTTTTGCAGGTTTGGTTCTGATGAGTTGAAAAAACAGGACCAGCTGTAGCTGGAGATTTTGTGGTTTGCATGGGAATCAGTGAAGCCGGGTCAGATGTCACAAGTAAGTTAACCTAGCAAATTGCCAATTTTAGACAGCCTGGTATTTTAATGGGAGGAATCTGGTTTCCCTGACTCTTCCATTTGGCACTGCCTGTAAGAAATACAAAGGAAGGAAAGACCAGTGTGGTGAGAGCAAAAAGTAATATTCTAGGAGCAGTAACACATGCCTCTGATGCATCCAAAAGCAGTGAAATTGAATGTATCTGTCAATGAATTGATATCTGTAACACTGTATAGGCTAAGCAGAACAGATTAATATGCAGCTGACATGCTGGCCCTGGATTTATCCTAGTGTTTGCCCTGCTGCTGATGTCTCTCTGTTCTGTCCAAGCTTACCACTGGCAGGTAGCACTCCAGCAACTTCTGTAGTTGCGCAGCCACCATCAGTTGTGCAAATCTGCAGATGTATGATAGGGGTGTAGCCTGTTCAACTGTACTAAAACTTGCACTTCCTTAAAACAGATCTGTCCATTACAGAGCTAGTCCATTCCGAAAACGATGGCATTACTTTCAGAATGGGTTCCTCCTGCTCGTTCTTACCTCACCTCAGCCACTTCTGTCATTCCTGTGCAACAAAAATGTCTCTGAACTGGTGATTGTTTTGTTTAGAGCTAATGAAGAATTTGCTACGTCAAATCTATTATCTTTGTGATTTAGTTACTTTGCATGCAACTATTTTTCTGGTTTAGTGGAAGAATATGTTTAAAAACACTGATAAATGAAACTATAATTCTGAAGTGCCTGAGGCAGTAGATAATTTGAACAATTAAATTAAGAGATATTGTAGAAAAAAGTGAAAGATGTCTCATCTGACTGTGAAGCATGGACTTCAAGGACAAGGGAACAATGAGAAACCACTTTTAGAGGTTTTGTTGTTGGACACAGGATGGCTAAGTTGAACACATTTTGCTCTTACAAACTGCTGAGACGTGTTCTTGCAGACAAAATCACCAAGTTGGCTGAAGTTTTTGATTGGCAGAGTCCTATGTCTATCTCTTTGACCAAACTCAAGCTGTTTTCTCAAGACAGACAGTTATTCAGTGTTAGGGCAAGGGTGCAGCAGGTAGTTTTCAAGAGAGTTAATGGGGATAGAGAAATAATGGGACTAAATCTTCCTGAATGATCCATTGCCATTTTCCTTTCTAGTTGATTGATTTTGTTCATAAATTATTGAAGGTGATAAGAACACAGAAGAAAAAGAAGTGTTCACCTACATGAGAAGTGAAAGGTGCCTTGGAATTAATTTATTAAAATTTCAACAGAACGAAAAGGACTCTATATTAGTCTAATATAAATTTCAAGTCAATTTGAAGGAGCAACTGTCTGCATTCAAATGTAGTTGTATATTGTACATAGTATTGACCATGTACAACAAAACTAGCACAGAGATGATTTGAGAAGCAGATCAGTTAGTATAGAAAATGTCTCTTTTTAACTTCAGGATTCTTGGCACCACAAAGCATACACATTTGTGTCAGTTCTAATGATTTTGTCTCATCTCTCTACTATTCCACAATTTATATAATGTTTTGCTAGTCTGTGGAGAATATACAAGAGCACATAATGAAAGATGCCTTCTCTTTCTTCAAGCTACATTTTCTGGGCATCTACCCCAAGTAACCTTGACTATGTCCACCTCTTCAGCATAGATGCCTTGCCCCTTTTTGTCTCTGTGGAATCCAGTCTTTCTGTCTTTCTGGGTTTAGGTAATTCTTTTTAAGCTTGGAAAACTAAAATTGCACATACTGTCTATACTGGCACAAATACTTCTCTAACCCTGATAGAAATATTACCCTCTAATACGTAATGTTACCCAAGTTTGCTGGCTTGTGAATCTTGTGATTAACCACGCAGATCATCTTCATCATTGGTTTGCTATTGAAACATTGTAAGATACAGCAATCATTCTTATTACTTTGTGCCTAGTTACTTGTACTTTCTATCCTGAATTTGAAAACTCAAGATGATTCTTTTCTTGCTGGGAGATACCTCGGTTGTCTGTGTTGGTGATGTCTCTCAAGTTTGTGTCACCAACAAATTTCATTAACGTATTCTTTTTCTTCTTTTAAAGATCATTAATGGAAATATTCAATAGGTTTTGTCCAAAGGCTGATATCAGAAGAAGATCTCCAATAATAACCTCCCTGCATATCAGCACTTCCTCTTTTAATGCAACCTGATGCAATTTCCCCTTTGCCAAATTCCTTGTCCACATTTCCACTTTTGTCCTAATTCTTATATTTTCGAAATTTTAACTCATAGTTACCTAGTAGCATCAATTTTAGTTTGCTTGAGTCCAATAGGATTTTTTCCATTCTCCTTTCTCTAGAAAAATCTATTTTCATAACAAACAAATCAGATTGGTTTTAAATAAGAGACCACTGGTAAATTGAATTCTCTTTTCTTTCCAAATCTATTCTGAGGCTGTGTAGACTGCCAAAACCAACAACCTCTGTTTTCACTAATTTTAATTTCTGTATAATCTTTCCTGTAGATGTCTTGCTTTGTCAGCTGCATTGTGAATCCCTTTGTAATCTCGTGTGAAATATTTCTTTAGTTTTGAGGCATTCTCTATATGCCTTGTTTTTTTTTCGAATTCTCTATTTCTGTGGCTGGAACGTTTCTGTTTGCCACCTAAATCTTACTTGATTTTGTTGGTTTTCATCTGCAAGACTTAATTTATTTTGACCTGTGGCAGTTCTTACCTTCTGACCTCCAAACTGTAGCTTACTTTGATGATTAATCTCTTTCCTTTCCGGTAGGTCATCTACTGTTTTTTAAAGTGATTATTCACCCAGTTAGACTCAAAGCTATTTTATGAAAGTTTTGGGGTTTTGTTTCCTGTGCTGATGATGTAAATCCCAGATATCTGTTCTTCCTTTTTTTTTTTTTTTTGTTTGTTTTGTTCCCTTGAAGGATATGTGTTGCCTATCTTTGATCGTAATGTTGACCTTAAAAGGTGAAGTCAAATCTATTTAGATGCATGGCTGGACTCAAGAGCACAGTGCAGAAGAAAACTCAAGATTCAAATATGTTATGACTTGAATGGTGAAGTGAGCAGCTCTGGTTGCTTACAGATAGCACTAGCTGTATCAAAAGCCTTTTGGTGGTGGGCTTTCTTGGAAAGAGCCCACACAGCATGCTCTGTAAGTTGTTTAGTTATATAGTCCCTACAGGGGCAGTGATATGGGCTGCCAAGAATGAGTTATGGAGCACCCACTGAAGTAGCCTTTCCCCAGAGCTGTCCTCTAGCTGGGAATATTCCAAATTATATTCTGAGCCAAATCCCTGAGACTCAGTCCACTTGGCTTTGGTAAATTGTTACGTAAGTTTTCAGAGCCTGCTGTATTTTAAACATAAAATTTACTTACTAGCTTGATCTTTCTTCTAATTAAAGAGAAATAACTCTTCATAAGTTGATTATAAATAGTCATTTTCCAAGTGTTTGAAGCAAACTGTCAGCCATCACATTTGGGAGTACTTGAATGTTTCCATTAGTAAGGCATTTGTTCTTTAATCTGTGTTTGGGTGGTTAGTCCCCTGTGACGCCATTGCTTGCAAGAACTGCTTACATTTGTGATAACATCACAGTGCTCATTGTTCCTCTGCAGACCTTCCATGGAACCTCTATCTAATCTCTTCAGTAGCTGTTCCACAACAAAGGGATGCATGATGTAAATCACTGTGAATGCTTCCATCTTTTCTATGCTGCATCAATATAGTGTTGTCATATTTCTTATCCCAGCTCTTGTGTGTCCTTCTTTTATTATTTAGTCCCTGTGTGTATGATTGTCTAGTGTCTGTGTCCATATATTATGAGCTTTTATCAGTACTTTAGGCTCCTTGAGTTTGTTGGCCTCCAATTATTATACAGATTTTGTATCAAGTTCCTTGGACAGATTTGTCATTCATTGACAAAATAGCTATATGCCTACTGGTTTTATCCACGTTTGCACTATTTGTTTCCCTTTCTGTTCATCCATATCTGCTTGTAAATTCCTTTAGCTATAGCTATATCCGATATTCCCTTAGCTTATATTTTATGCAGTTTTCTCCCATTATTTTCCCCCAATTCTTTCATTAACAAGACTTAAGCCATGCTGACCTCAGTCCTGGTTTATTTTGTAAATCATTCTGATTTTGGCATAAATGAAGATCAGATACTTGGTTTTGCTTTGGTTTATAATTAGAGCCTTTGGGAAGAAGGTTCATGTGCAGGTTGAGGTGGGTGTGTATAAAGGTATAGACAGCTCACCTAAATGTGCCTCCCCACTCAGTGTCTTGACTCTTACCCCTCAAGTTTACTGCCTCCCTCAGTAGGTGGACTCTTATGGACTTCACAGACTTACTAGATTGACAGGTGCTACCAGGGCTTTGATAGAGTTCTGTTATACCATCACCTACCTATAGCTAGATATCTGTTGGAGAGTGTTCCTCAGTTCGGGTTTTAGTTGAAGAAGTTCAATTGCAGAGGAAAAAATCCAGACCTCTGGAGATTCTGCTAGTGTGTAAATAATAACCAGTGATTCACTCTGGCTGTCTATTGCAGCTAGGGCTGCTTGCAGCATGATGTGAACACTCACGGATGAAAAGATTGTTTTTTGCCAGGGGGTATAAATAGCAGGCGTCTGGAACTCCTTTATCTTAGCATTTAGACTTGGCTTTTTGAAAGTTTACTAGCTTTGAATTTATTACACCATTCTGACCAAGAACATTCAGGAAATGTGTGTACATACATCTTTATGCATACACTAATAGTGAGGCATATGTTTGTTTAAGTCAGGACCTCGAAATTAATGACCTGCTCAGTGACTAACATGCACAGTTACAGAAATGCATAATACATCACCTCAGATTCAAGTATTTCTGGCCCATGTTTCTGACTACCAAATATACCTAGGGAAAATTTTTTGCTTTCATCAGCAGGTATGAAGATTTCACTTAAAAGAGGGTGCAAGAAGTGGTCTCGTTTCTCTCGTGTGCCTTCCAAGAGTTGCCCAAGCCTTGTGCAGCCTGGTAGGGTTACAGGACCTGGGGGGTAAGAAGGGAGAACAAAATATTAGTTGTCTTTCTGAAAGAAAAGCAGTGACTCTGCCAGTTGTACAGGGACCAGCTTACCCTTCCTTCACAAGAGTAACCCTTCCTTTCCTGTGTTTTGAAATAGACATCAAGATAACAGCTGTAAAAAAAGGGGATGAATACATCATAAATGGTGGTAAGATGTGGACTATGTCGGGATGCCAAGCGGACTGGCAAACACCAGTGGAGGGCCTGCCCATCAAAATAAATCTCTCCTATGTCTGCCAATGAATCTACCTGGTAATAACACAAAACTTTTTCTCTCCTAATTTGATTTCATTGGTGTTTTTAAATATGCACCAGGGTAAGAAGGAAAGGTGTTTAACAGCAAGGACTGCACCCATAAATGCTCTTCTAAATTAGGTGCTTCACTGTCCTACAAAGTTGGTCCTGAAATGCATTTGCACAATTCCAAAAAAGAGTAGGGGACATGAGAAAATGAGAAGGAAATTAAGCATTTTGCAGACTTCAACTTGTGACTCCCAAATCATTTTATAAGGAGAGTCCTTTTTGCCAAAAATAAGCTTATGAAAGCTGTTCAGATACATTTGCATGGGAAGATTTCATAACCTTCTGTGAGAATGAATATACAAATCAATGCCAAAGACAAAATTTGTGCCTCAAAGAAATCATTAAAAAGCCAAGGGTTTTTATTGTTTGTTTTTGAAGGTTATAACACTCAGTGCCGTTTAGTTTTGGAGAGGTTCCACAAAAATTTGTATCTTTGTTTTCTGTCCCAAAAGGCAGAAAGAAGATGCAAACAATCTGCAAAACTAAATAACATCATTTACATAGACCTTTGCACATGAACTCTTTGTAAAATTTTTTTAAACTACTTTTTAAAATAGTGTTAAACACTGTCCTGGTTTGTGTGAGGACTGGTGAACAGACTGCATGCTGCTTTTGTCAGTGAATAGAGAAGTATTTTTAAGCTTGCTTTCTTGTTCAGAAAATATTGAAAGTCATTCTCAAGTACGCGAAAATAAAAGGGTAAAGAGTTTAGAGATCAGTTTTCCAAAAACAAAGCAGCCAACCCATTGTTAGAGGCAGATCAAATATACAGAAATCAACTTGGAGGCTTTCAGCTATTTTGCTTATTGCAAAAAGACGTGTGAGTCATTATAGCTTGGGGGGTTTGGGGATGGGGGGTGTTGTTAGGTCACACAGCCACATAGATCTTCTTTATTGCAGTAAATGAGTCGAAAAATCGCCTGAGTCTCCCAAAGCTGATCTGCAGAACCGTAGAAGTCTTCCCAGAAACAAAAATTGCACTCCTTAAAGTATATAAACTTTCCTTTTTCTGTGTGATACAGATACTGGCTTCCAAAAGAGTCGCTGTACCAAGACTGATGACCTTTCAAAATGAAATATTAAGATAGTTGATTCTGGGTGGGTCATATCAGAAAGGAGATTTTTCAGGAAGATAAAGGGGGAAAGGGTGAAAAAGGCTGCTATTTGATACAGATGTGAGGAGGAAGTCCTGGCTATTCTGATACATCCTAAGGATGTCTGTCTGCCAAAGATTGGTGCTCCTTGGAGGGCAGCAGATCAGGACTGTACGGGAAGTGTCTGGAGAACATCACCGAATGATGCACTACCAAGTGTCTGTAGATGTATGTGTGTCAAAGCTCAAGACTGCGTGCAGTGAAGAACGAGTGTGTTATGTCTGACTTAACTGCTGAAGTCACCAGCCTATATGCTGCAGTAAGGAAGGGATCCGTGGCACAGCGTTAACTCATTGCTAGCAGCTGGAAGGCCATGGGAGACTAGTCCAGTGTTTGCCCCCAGAAATATTAACTGTTTCATACTTATATCATGTGATGATAGAAAAAGAAGTTCCAGGTCTGAAAGTGAATTACTTACTTCAACAGCTGGTAGTTTATTGGAGATATGAAGCAGGATTTGCTTCATGTATATACAGTGTGTATTCTGTGTGAAGTAAATCATGGCCTAGATTTGACGGACACTGCTGAATACATTTCTCATAAAAGGAATTTGGAGAATGGCAGTGTGGTTTTGGTAGATATCCAAATTAGGTGAACAGTCCTCATAATAACAATGTTTTAAAGAAAACCCCAACCTTAATTTCTCATATGATGAAAGAGAATCTAAAAAGTTGTAGAATGTCTGTAAGTAATATATATATAGACAAATGACTTGCAGCCCTAATCTGGCAACTATTTGTGCAGTGGTTTGTCCTCTGGGTCCTCAAATGGCACTAGGGAGGATTGCAAGGGTGAGATAATAAAGAGAAGAACATCCAGGACAGGGGAAAGAGCATGTTTCTCAGGCTGCAATTTAAAATGTGCCTGTTTCCATTTGTAATGGCACTAAATGGTTTCAGGAGGGAGTGACTGCCTTTCTCTCACAATGGAACATAGAAAACAAAAGAGACTGTCAGAAAGCTGGAGGAGTGGGAGAAAATGAAAAATCAAAGACTCCTGGAAAGAGCTGCCCAGGAAGAGATATAGCAATCCATCTCAGTGGTACTGGTGTGAGTAGTACAAATGGCTCTATTAGAGTGCCGACTGTCAAACACTTGGCCTTGCTAGATTGAGATTTCTGTGTTATTGCTTGTTATTTATTTAATACAGACAAATTCCACGAGTTGCCTGGGCAGATAGTAAGCACATCTTCATATGGGCAAAGAGCAGTGATTGCAGAAAGCCAACTAGAAGTAGACCAAAGACATGATCTCTGAGACTTTCAAAGAAACCAAGCAGTAATCCAGTGGGAAGAGGCGTTCCAGAAATCCTCTGGGTCTGTAAATGGTTCAGTGTGTTTGTTTAGCTCTGATTTTAATACAGAAACAAACCACAAATGTTTTTTTGGCGTGAGTGGGTGCAAATTTCTGGATAAGAGTAAAAAAATTTTTACAGAGCTGTCCTGATTTTCTTCCTGTGTTGAACACATATCAAAGCAAGTATTCCTAACACATAGGCCATTTATGGATTGGCCAGTGGAGAAAAATTTTGAGTGGAAGGTGTGGAAGTCTGCATGGACTTATTATTCTGAAAGCAGTCATGGCACTTGGAAATAGTGTCAGTACTTAAATCTCTGCAGAGAGGTGAAACTTTCCATAGCCTTATTCAATGCAGCCAGAGAGTGAGTGAATATGAAGGGAACGATTGCCAACTACTTCTGCCTGCAAAACCGAAGAATTTTCACATGACTGAAGGCCTCCTCTTAGTAGAAGATGAGATGTCTTTATTAGTTCAGAAAGAGTTGTTCACTAAACTCCATGAAAGATGACAGTGGGCTGTGTAGTGACCGACTCCTCCTGAGCTGTGTTAGAGAGTAGTAAAGGATTGGAAAAAGAAATAGAATAAAGAGGAAAATATTACCAGAATACCTTGTCAACACAGAGCTGGTTGGAATACCATTTATGTGGGTAGTAAGATTATTGACTTGGCAGATGTAATCAGCATATTTTGCATAAACCCTCATAACCTTGTTGTTGGTCTCAGTTTATTTTACATCTGAAATATTCTTGACTTCCATCTTGAATATTCTCATTAGTCCCAGAGCAACAAGGAGGTGAAAACTGAAGGCAAGGGAATTGCCACCCAAAAGAAAATAAATGAGTGCGTATCTGTTAAGCTCTCATGGGACAGTGGTGAAGCCATGCTTGCATCTGAACAAGAGCAAGAAAGAGCTTGTGGCTATGAAAAAACAAATGTGACTAGGTCTTAAGTGGCTGAACCTGAAGGAACCAGGTTCATCTCCAGCAGGCTGTTGCATGTGGGGTCAGAGTCAGTGCTGCGTAGGGAGGCCTGTGGGGAAGCAAACCCTCTTCACAAGCATGTCCATGATAAAACTCAGAGGTATGAACTGTGATCATTATGAACCTTTCTATTACTACTTAGGTGAACTAAACAGTATTTTATAAGCCATCATAAAATACATAGTTTCAACAAAATTTATAGTTCATATGGAATTGTTGGCTGTTTATAGCAGTTAGGAATTTGAGTCTAAATTTTTATTAGGACAAATTGGTGTGGTGTAATTATAAACTCTTCCACAGAAAATATCAGGATAGACTAGAAAGAGAAGGATAAATATGAAAGAGGGGAAGGGAACAGGATTTCCAGGAGGAGAAATTCCCTAGTTGCAGCTTAAAACTTAGCTCTGTTTTTGTCATTACTAAATATTTCTCTACTGTTCCACAGCAGTGTAAGCAATCTGCAAATACTCCTAAATTGAATTCCAGCATTTCATTACAGTGCACTAAAAATCAAACAAGCAAATAAATATTGCATTGATTCGAGACGTGCATGAAGTAAGATTATTACTACTAGTAAAGAATTATTATTTGGAGATAATGAAAAATGCAACCTTCACAATTACAATTTCTTCTTTGTTAGTTAAATAAAATATAAAAAAATCTTGGAAATAGGTCATGGGCTGTTTTACTCTTAAATGCCAGAATACAGTTATGTTTTTCCTAAAGGCAGATTTCACTGTAGTCTTGGCACATACCTTCACATCTGCAAACTTCGCTTTCTTAAAATGCTGTGCTTGTATATAGTACGTCTATTTTCTGTGGCCTTTCTAATACTTTCTTCAGTCATTCATGTTGCTAAAAAGATAGGCATACTGGGCATGAAGTTACCGGACACAGCACAGATCTCTTTTGAAGGTGTAAGGGTCCCCAGCAAACACCTCATCGGTGAGGAAGGAACAGGTTTTACATATCAGATGTTGCAGTTCCAAGAAGAGTGGCTGTGGGGAATAGCCACTGGTAAGTCATCGTTTGTGCTGCTGGGGCCGGGCAGGGACACAGGGGTCACCCTTTGCATGAGTAACAGGACTTTCATTTTCTCATAGATTGCAATGTCCTCTTACAGTCTGTTTTTGAAATCTGTCACAGCCTGGGTACAGACAACCTTCCCTTTCTGTAGGAAAACTGGAAATAGACAATATTTTGTGAGGCATCACAGAGGCTGCTTTTGCCTTGTTTCTTTTTTCGTGGTGTTTTTCTGCTGATAAGAAAATATGGCGTCATGTTATGTCTGCTACAGATAGTACAAAGGCTATCAAAATACTGGCATGAAATAGGAGTTTTATTGTAGTACAGTAAGCTGTGATATTTATCCTGGATTTTTAAAAATTAACGTAGTGGCTGTCTAAAGAATTGTCTCTTACAGGATATGAGAGCTTTGTTTTGTGGATCTATTTTCCCTCTGTGCACTTTGGACAACAGTGGTACAACACCAAATTCCTTTCCCTGAAGCTGTCACAGGGTTCCTGTTACTCTAAACTCAGGCTTTGAGTTTATATGAATTTGAGTTTTTATTTGAATTATATGGATTCTGGATGTTCCAGGTAAACAGATCTGGATTTTCCAATTTCAGCCTCCCAACCTTATCCCTCACCCTAGAGTGTTCGTTTCGTCTGAAATATAATGTGGTTCACTGTAAGAAGATTGGTCCTCTTTAAATTTCAGGGTTGTATAAATAATCTCACCATATTTGTGTTCCTGTGCATACCCTGTCTGTTACTGCCTGTGTGTGGCTGGGGAATCGGGAATTCTAAGAAGTGATTTTCTGATTCAGTGACCAAATAAAAAAATCACTCCCTGTTGTGGGTTGATCCCAGACCAAATATTTTAGAGTTCAGATGCTTTAAAGAATCTTTGGTTTGCTCCAAGATTCTTAGTTCAGACTGGGACAAATAGTAACTGTGAGAGTGTTTTTAGTGAAGAACAGACTTGTAAGGGATGCTACTGCAGACTCAGGCAAGGAGGAGACATGGTCCTACTGCTGCTCCTGTTTTAATTGAGGCATACACAAGACTGCAAGGATGCGCATTGTCCATTTCTACGCACAGTTTGAAGTCTAACAGTCAGAAACTCTGGACTTCAGTGAGTAGCTAGCAGTATTAGTCATGCCCCAGGCAAAAGTGACGTGCACTGACAGCATTAAGACACAAAGCCTGGCAGGTTAGATCACTCCTGTTAAAACCACTGGCAGCTTGGTGCTGTCCAGCCTTGCACAACTGCCTGACAGTCACCGTGCTCTGCCTGGAACTGGGACACCAGGTTTCAATTCTTCTTTTTGCCCAGAATAACACAGTGGGAGCAGGCAAATCCTCGCCCTGGATGAGCAGTCTGGGAAGGGCATCTTTGCCTGGCCATCAGGGAGTAAAAGCCTTTGAGCTCACCAAGGGAGGCAGAGCTGCCTTCTTCAGCACAGTGGACAGTATGTTGTACTTTGCTGGGCCCCTTGGTGTTGCTTTTATCCACTGTCTGATGTAAAGTGTGTGAAAGCTCTAGGAGCAGGAGCAAGACTCATAGTTTGGGTCAAGTTGCAAACTTTAAGGGTAACCAGTTGTGATAAACAAGAAAAAAAAGAGTAACCAATGTTCAGAAGGGAGCCAGGTGCTTGATGGATGCGGTTTGTACCACCACAACATCTAGCTGTTACCTTACAGTCCTGCAAATGGTTTTACATATGTTCAGCAAGTGCTTTTCTGAAAGCTCAGTTGTGCAAAGCTATGTATATGCCTTCAGTAGCTTTGTGATTAGGTCTGTGTATGTACTCCTAGTCCTTGCTTCTGGCCTTCAGAAGGACATTTCTGTTCCTTCCGGTTCATGACTATTCATGTGACATTGAAAATCATCAGCCTGCTTTTAAACACTTTAGGGATGAGTCCTAGCATCCTTGCTTTCACTACTTCCTAAAACTTGGAAGAAGCAGTTGACTGCCTTTCCTTTCTTTCTTCCTGTCCTTTTTGGGCATTGCTTTGTTGTGTTTGGTTTGTTTTTTTTTCTTTCTCTGTTGTTGGTTTTGTTTATGCATTTTTAGTACCATGTATCATGTGTTCCAGCTTTGTTTATTATTACCTTCTTTTTGGCCAACATGTTGGGAAAGTTTCCTTCCTTCTTCACTTCTCCCCCTCCCCCCCAAAATGAATTTTCATTCAAACTGAGTTAAAATATAAATGGAAAACTAATTTCCTGGTATTGCAAAATTTGGTCACAGTGTGGTCTTTTCTTCCAAGTGACACGTGTCAAAGGCACTGGTAAAAGTAATTTCTTGCTCCAGTGAAAGAACTGCCACGTGTCTCTCCTGTGTTGTGACACTTGGTAAAGACCGTCCATTTGTGGACCTGTTGCACTGATCACAGGAAAAGAATGTTGCTATGGCAAGAAAGCAAACAGTTTTTTTTGTGAATTGCTTAACTTGGAGGCAAAGAGGGATTTCAGTGTGTGTGAGAGAGCAGAATGGCACTTTTCTAATGACTTCTATCTGCTGCCGTAGTCTCAGTTTTATGACCATCATTGAGTCATGGCCAGTAAGCAGGATGACAGATCCTTTTACATGGGCAATGCACGTCCTTAAGAGACAGATGCTCAGCTTGGAGCTCACTGTACATCTCACTAGAAACTGACCAGGCACAACTGAAGAGCAATATATCAATTTCCTTTTGAGAGGAGATGTAACAAGGCAAAGCGTGTTTACAGTGAGCAGAAGTTCCGAGTGGAAAAAATGTAGGCTGGATGGAGGTACGAGGAAAAGATTATTCTGCATCTGGCAGCTTCAAGTGCTTTCACAATTCTCAGCTGTATGGTAGACCATGCATTCCTCAGGCTGCCCTAGACCAACATTTCCTGCATGTGCTTTCAGTTGAAATCCATGGGGCCAAGTTAATCTGAGCCTGTGGAGAACATTGTCTGGCAGAAGAGGAAACAAATACACAGGGAGGGGGAAATCAGGCAGTTAGTTTCACTGTTGAGAATGACATTTCTCTGTACTTACATGACTGCTTTGCCATGCTAGAGCTATGCTCATAGCTTTAAATACCTGTAGACGTAACACCACAGAATGGTTTTCATTGGAAGGGATCTTTAAAGATCATCACATTCAATTCCCCTTCCATGGGCAGAGACACCGTCCACTATATCAGGTTGCTCAAAACCCCATCCTTGAACACTGCCAGGGAAGGGTCAACCTGTGCCAGGGTCTCACCACCCTCATCATAAAGAATTTCTTAGACTCATAGAATGACAGAATGGTTTGGGCTGGAAGGGACCTTAAAGCTCATCCAGTTTGAAGCCCAAAACATTCTTCCTTATGTTGAGTCTAAATCTACCCTCTTTCGGTTTAAAACTGCTGCCTCTTGTCCTGTCACTGCTGGCTCTAGTGAAGATTCTCTTTACATATTTTTTAAAAGGCTTCCTTATATATTGAAAGGCAGCAACAAGGTGTCCCGGGAGCCTTCTCTTCTCTAGGCTCAACAACCCCGACTCTCTCAGCCTGTTTTCATGGAAGAGGTGCTCCAGCCTTCTGACCATTTTTGTGCCCTCCTCTGGACCCTTTTCAATAGGTCTATGTCTTTTTTGTACTATGGGCTTGAGCTGACCACAGTACTCCAGGTGGGGTCTCACTAGAGCAGAGGGAATCAACTCCCTTGACCTGGTGGCCATGCTTCTTTTGATGCTGCCCAGGATTGTCCTTAAAAGAATTCCTCTGTTTATGTCTGTGTGCAAATGGCAGGTCCAGGAATAAGCAGAAAGGTGGTCATGGCAGCTAAGGAAGCAGGAGGAATGGATCAGCTGGGTCGTGAAGGAGGCAGTGAAACAGAGAGGTAGGCACTGTGAGAGCAGCTTTCTCAGGCCCCCACTCTAAGCCCTGATGTGTATTGAGCAGAGATGGGCCAAAACCCCTTCATGATCTTCAGCCCTTTTACATGCAGGACCTAACTAGGTGCTGCCTCTTCCTTCCCACCCGTCCTGCTCCTGCCTTCTCTTTGCTGTTTCCCACCTCTTCTATCCTGGTGCCGGGTGCTAAGAACCATAGGAGCCATGCTGGAGCACTTTGCTCTGACAAACACAAGACTAACACCTTGTCCTCCCACCTTCTGCTCTCCTAGCACGGCATTTACTGTTCAGCTATATGCTTCACAGGTACCAGTTTGAGGGCAAGGGACAAAAGGTGCCTGGGCACTTCTTGCTCTTTCTTTATCATCTCTCAATCTGGACACCATAGACATACAATTGAAAAACTTGTTAGTGTTCCACATGCTACAGTGTTAAATGGTCCTTTGGAAGAACAGGGATCTTTCTTTGTACAAGAGATATCCCTGAAAACAGCAATGTACTTTCTTGTCAAAAACCAGCATTAGGGTGGCAGCATAGTGCATAGCATAGAAATGAGGACATTAGATTATATGCTCTTTTGAACAATAAGCATTAAGTTTAGTTGTTTGAGAAAGAAGGGGAAAATATTTAAGGCATGAGAAATAAAATTGATCCCCTTACAGAATATGGGGACAGCATATGAAAAATAGCGCTCTGCAGAAAAGCTGGGAAATGGTCCTGGAAGGGGGCAATTGATGAGATGTGGAGTCTGCATATGAGAACAGTATAGGGATCAAATTTAAACAGAGGTGACCTAGAAAGTGATGCAAAAAGGAATATGGAAGCACACCGGGCTCCTATAACAAACTCTTGTCATGTGAGTAACTGGCAATGTGAGAAAAGGGATTTTGTCCAGGACTTGTTTGTGTTTTGCGTTTCAGAGTCAGAGTTTTGTGGTTTGGATTCTGAATATGAAAGGGTGTAGATATGCGTATTTTGAAGAAAAGAAAACGATCACACAGATGGGTTTGTGAACTCTCTCCCTGCTGCTTGCCCTAGTGATATGGATCTGCATTCGCCAAACAAAATTCTCTACCAGTTCAGTACCTGCTGTTATCCTAGCTAAGCTGCAAGAGCCTGGTAGTCTAGCCCTTCACTTCAAGGCTGATTAGCCTTAGAAAAGAACTTTTCCTTTTTTTCGTGTTCAAAACAGGGTATCTCCAAGTTTGCTCAAAAAGTAGCAGCAAAATAGTTCTCTTTAAGGCAGTGTCTGCCATCTTGCTTGCCTGTCTTCTAGTAGTATCCTGTTTTGATTCTGTTTCCATTAGAAGCACTGTTTAGCATTTACTAAAAGTGGCTGTGAATCTTAATGATTTTCCCTGCCTTTTTATACTGGGATCTGAGCACAGAATGCAGACATAGTAAGTAATCTATTCGTGTTCCTTGATCTCTGAAGAGGTTTCTTCCTTCTCCCTGAAAGCTTCCATGAATTTATATTTCTACAGCATTCTTCAGTGAGCACGCTGTCTGCTTTCAGATTTTCTTTTGCGATTGTAACAGACCTTCAGAACATAGGTAGCATGGAAAGAAAGAGTTGCCACAAGCTTTTGCTAGGGCCCCAAATGAGTCATTAAGGATAAAGTTTACATAGTCATCATCATCACATACTGCTCTCTATAACTTTCCTTCCCTCCACCCCACCTCTTCGCTCTCCTCCAAGTTTTGGCAGTTTAGGGCTAAGGTAAAATAGTGGTCAAGAGGTCTTCAAGGTACAAAGAAATGCCAGACTGTTTTCAGAATTGAAACTGCACCTCAAACTGGGCATATGGAATAATCTACCTTGGAAAACCTAATGTTTTGTTTGTACAATGTGAAAAAAACATCTTTTCCAGCAAGAGCAACAACAGATCTGGCTAAAATGTCTTGTTCTATGCTTTGCTTCTTCAAGTCCTGACACCGCTGGCAACTATAATTATATATAAACATAATAACGAGAGACTGTTGATTACATTCACCAGTGGAAAGTGTTTGACTGGCCCATGCTTGCACAACCAAGCCGTACATTTCCGCCTGGCTGAGCTGACAACCAAAGTGGAGCTCTTGCTCTCACTGCTATACTGCAGTGTTGGATGTGCTTCTCTTCATGCAAAGAATGTTCCTAGGCTGAAGGAGCATGGGGAATTGATTGCAGAGAGGCAGGCTGTGATCAGTGACCATATGAATAAGTCTGATTTATTTATTTCTGTTTTGTTTCTTTAGCTCTCTATGTGGAAGGCAGTGATGTGACAAAATTTGTTTCCATGGCTAAGCTAAAGGCAGGTCATCTGGCCCATGAGGTGACTGATAGCTGTCTCCAGTTTTGGGGAGGAATGGGATTCATCAGTGAGGTACTGGTGAGCATACAGGTGATACAGGTGAGTGAGTGGAGAGAATAGGAAATGGCTTTACTGAAATTTGGCCTCTTAAATGGCCTTCTAAAAAATCACCCACTTGAAAAGGGCACCAGCTCCTAGGCAGTGTGAATGGTGGTGTTCCACTGAATGGTGTGTCACTGATGTACCCAGTGAATCCAAGGACATCCACAGCCCATTGGCTTTGGGGTATCATGTGTGAGTGTCAGGACATAGACTGACTATTCCTTTGCCAAATCTTGGCCTTCCATTATAACTGTGTAGTTCGAACTACCCACAGGTTAGCTGGAATGTCTGGTGAAAGAAGTAAACTCTACATATTCCCTGATGGTCCTCTGATATCTACCAAACAATAGGACAAGGGGAAGAAAAGGGGAGCCTACAAACAGATGGTATTTTTTCCTCTTTCCTTGATTACAAGATCAGAACTAAAACACAACAAAAGCTTTCTTCCAGTGAAAATCAGCTTTATCTTTTCCCCCAGATACATGTGTGAAACTGGAATTCACCATCAGGCTCCTTCAGCCTACTATCAGTCTTTTGTGATAGTCTCCAACTGATTAGTCACATCAGATACCGCGTGGGGCCTATGAAAGTCATAGCTTTTTCCAGCAGTTAAAATGGTACAGATGACTTTTTGCAAACTAATTAAAGTCCTTTCAAATTTTACCATATATCTACTTAGAGCAAAATTCTCTCAGAGCAGACAGTTTTCTGGCAGCTGTCTGGTCGCAGTATCTTATGCTCTGTAGAAGGATCAAAAAGGAGCTTGTGTTTTCTTGCAGTGACAGATTTCAGTTCAGCCCTTATATATACAATACCTAATCAAAGGTTAGCAAAATTGGTTAGTGGTTCAGTTAGTTGAAAGTTTTGGTAAATGTTATCTGTGTAAAGTGAGAGCAGAACACTTAAAAAGATCTGTAAAAAGCTGGTTTCTTTTTAGCAGGCTGAGTTACTTTCTCTATTTTAATAGCATTTTATGGACAAGAATGCCATTGTGGTAAGCCAGAGAGATTCTCAGCCTTTTTTGAGTTGTGAATCCCTGAAATTCTCTGGTGAAGGTGCAGACTGCTGTATGGTGGTGCTTTTAAGCTAGCTGTCAATATGATGTTTTTCCTTAGTAATTTTTTTCACAGCCTCTTTATTAGCAGCTAATGGTCCTGATGTTAAAAGCTACTGCAGGAGGCACTTTGAATAAAATGAGTCCTTCTCTTGCAGCACTTACTGTCAATGTAGTAATGCATACACACTAATGTGCATGTGCTTCTATCTTGCTTTGATTTGTCTTTAGATTTCCTAGCCTGGTATTTTATTGCTAAGTTTGGGCAGGGCTTTTCTGTGTGAATTCCAGAGTGGTTTCTAAGTTCACCAGCACAGCCACTTTTTTCCTGAGAAGAAAATTCAGAGTATTTCCAATTGGTATAAACTCTGTCAGTTGGGTAAAAAAACATCTTTTTCTGTCTCTAAATCAAAGACTTTTATAAGGCTAAAGGTGATGTGGTATCCATACTCTAAAGTTTTATGTGAATCAGTAAAAGTCCATTGTTGAGTAACCATAAGCTCCAGGAAGGGAGGAGTATTAACTAAATAAACAATTGCATGTTCAAGTTAGAATCCTGTTAATCTGCAACGATAAGCAAAGCAGCAACTTTCTTAAAGCCATTCTTTTTTCTGCAACAGTCTGAGTAACCATTCACATCACTGTGGTACTTGTCAAGTAGCAAGCAGCGTAACTGCACAGCACGACATCTAGTCATAATGTACAAAGATTTTTGTAGCATAATCCTTACAGTGTTAGTCTTTGACATGTGTTGGGCTGTTACTCATCAAAGAGCACAAAACATAATGCATGGTTAGTGCATGAAGCCTTTGAATTCTAGTTGTTAGTGTTGGTGAGGAGATAATAAACAGGCCCAGCACAAAACTGTCTGCCAAATGACTTCAGTCACATCTGTCATTTTGGTAATTTGTCTTTTAAACTTTGTAGAGCAACTGACTTTCCTAAAGTGCAGTATTCTCTGGAAGATGTAAAGATAGCTGTTTCACCATATAGGACCCTATACATGGCTGGTTTTGTATATATGAATGTCTCACTTTCAGTTGTTGGGATTCTGGAGAATGAGAATGAGTTTGAAAGAAGTTCTGAGTGCAAATATCAAAGGGTTTAATAGAGAAACACAAGCCAATATGAAAAACATTGAGTTGATTCTTCAGACTTTACCCTACTCAAAGGATTCTGGAGAAGGAGAGTGTCAGACTGAGCTTGCATTTATTTTTCTCTCCCCTGCACGCAATGCCTCAAAGGCATCATGACTAGGGAAAAATCAGTTATTGAACAAACCCACAATCTGTGAAAACCCCAGGTTGTGAGAGATCAGAGGGTTGAAAACCTTTTGTGGTGAGTATATTGAAATTTTCCACACTTAACATGCATTTTAAAAGATTTCAGGTGGTGATCTATATATTTTAATAGTGACTATCTACACTTGAGTTGTTATAGGAACAACTTGTTTGGCCTTCTTAAAGTCTTTTGTTTTGAAATTAAGATTGTTTCTAAGTACTGAACACTACACCTAACTGCTGCCAGTTCTTACAAGTTTTACTTTTGTGCTGTGTAATGGAGAGAATGCAATCATTTCTTTACTTGCTGTGTTATGAAAGACTCGAGAAAGCAGTAGTGAAAACTATTGATTGCCTATTCGTGTGAAATAGATGAAGCATAAATAGCATTGCAAATTCTCATAGCTGCAGAAGAAAAATGGATTTGTTTCTTTTTCCCCTCAACTGTCATGTAGGTATTGCAATCTGAAGTTTTATTTGTATTTCAGGGTAGTTAAAAATCAAACTTCTATGTAGTTTTAAGTGGACTTTTTTGAAAAAGTAATGCATTTACTTCTATATTATTTATTGTATTCCTCACAGTTTAAAATGTCCATTAAAATATTTTATTTAGTTTCATTATTTTATTTTTTATATTATTTCATTCTTTACGAAGCATGTCTAAACTAGAATGAGTCTAGACAATTGGGTTCTTTTTATTCAGTCTTTTTCATCACAGTTTATGGTTGTACCAAGTAAAATGATACCTATCTTGTTTCTGATGGCAAAACCAATTTTCTTTTAAATCGGCAGCTAACTGTTGGGACAAGACTTAATAGCGATTCCTCAGTCATCTGTGAAAACAGATCCGTAGGTTCAAACTTTTTCTGCAGAGGTTTTGGAACAGATTCCTGTCTACCGCTTTGGTTGAATTTTATGAGTACCTTGAGGGGGAATTTAGGAGATGAAGCCCATGACATCTAGCTTTAATATGGCAAATCAAAATAGGTAACTGTACACTAATGACTTTAAGGCAGAGCTGTGCTCCAGAGCCATCCAAGATGATGTCCACTCCTGCTCAGCTGGGCTTTCAGAATGTCCCTTAGTGGAAATGAGCAGGCAGTGCCAGCCTTGGACCTGGCACACTGCGTGGTGTCAGCTCACACTTCTCCCTCTGGACCCAAGTCTCCTTTAGATGTTAGTTAATTTGGACAGGCCATAAGCAATCTAGCTGAGTCTGAAGATGGAAGAAGTCACAAGTATTAAAGTTGAGGGTACATCGGTGTATTTTGTGGAGAAAAATCTTGCAACAACTTTAATAATTGTGAGAAAACAGGGTAAATGTTTTGTAATCAACCTTGTTATGTTACAGCCTTCAAATTAGGATAGTCTAAGATTAAAGGGAGCTTGTCGTTCTCTTTAAGCAGTGTTTAATACATTTCTGAAGGAGGTTATACGACATGGTACCAATGGAGACGGGAAACTTAAGATTTGACGACGTAGAGGGTCCTTTTTGTTCCTTTTGCTGCCTCACTAGAGATAACCTGGATTGAGTTTGGTAGATGGGAAGGGCTGGCTCCTCATCCTTCCTTGAGCAGTTTTTAACTTAGCATTGAAGAATATTTTTTTTTTTTAATCTGTCAAAAAATATATTGCTTTTTAACATTTACGCCTCTTGATTTGGTTGAGTAGAGTAAGTCTTACAATCTGCAGTGGATGTTTCAGGTGCAGGGGATTTCCTGAAGGATGGGAAACTCTTTGCAAGGGAGTGTTTTAGGGGGTAGAACACAAGAGTCAGGATTTATCTCTTCCTTAGGCAGACTCCCACTCTCTGAGGAAGACAGCATTCAGTAAGCAGCTAGTTTGGTCCCTTAAAATGACACCTTTACATAACTGTATGGTACATTGCAGGCTGGTTTCTTGCTGTCCTTGGCCAGGGTGAAGGCATCACAGGTCAGTTTTCACCTCAGCAGGGCTGCAGGTGGTGCAGGATGTGCTGCTCTGTCATGGGGGCAGCAATGAGGCGATGGAGAAATCAGAAAGCAGTGTTGCTGTGCCAGATCTGAAGCATTCCATGGCTAGCCTAACTAAAGCAATAAAATTCTAATATTTAAATATATTAAACTGTTTATGTGCTGTATTAAGAATGCATTATTGATACAGTATAAGCTATCAAACCATAAACTTGCAATAAGTAGCTCATATACAAGCTTATGTTACTATGTCATCTTCCCAGCTACCTCAGAGTTCCTGGCAGGATAGTTAGTCCTGTGGTTTGGTTTTCTGAATGCTTAAGGCAAGTCTCTTTCCCACAAGAGGGATGCTACATTAAAATCACTGTCATCTCAATCCTCTTAGACTAGATGAAACCTTCTGTCCTGTCTCTCCAGCAGAGAGAACAACATTAGTCACCTGCCTGTAGATTCTGGAGAAAATATTCCTTATCTAACCCATAGAGACGAAAGTACAATCACCAGCAATTTTATACACATAAATATCCACAGAAACATATGTGAAAGGTATTTTGGTCTTTTGAAACATGTATTTGTATGTGATAACCTCACATGTCTGTCACACACCACTAAAGCCAGACCTTACCACTGCCTGTTTATAACTTCATATGAAGAAGCCACATTTGTCCAGGATTCCTGCTGCAAATGGAGGGTTTTTACTGGCATCACAGAGGAGTTCTGAGGATTAATTACTTACTGTTGCTACAGTGCTGTGAAGATGCAAGATTCTAAGCATTGGCAGTGGCTTTCTGCAGCTTGAAAAATCAGCCCCGCAACACAAAGACCAAGTAACCTACCATTGCTCCAGCTCAGCTGCCTCCAGCAAGGCCCAACAAAAAAATCTCTTGCTCACAGTAGTTTGCAGTCTGCTAGCACAGGGAACTTAGGCAATACTGTTAGGGATGACTTACTGATACTAGTGGCAGTGTCTAAATGAGTGTGATGATCAGAAATATCAAATGAAAAGTAAATAAGCTTGGAGCAGCCATTAATTTTTAAAGCAGAGCAGCTTTATTTTCTATATAGTTAGTATATATTTACTATATATTTACTATACTACTATATAATACTAATACATGTTATGCCAGATCTCATATAGCTAGTTAGTAGGGAGACCAGGATGCTTGCTAGTTAAAAAACTTGAGTGAAAATTGTACCTTCTCCATACAGTTCTCCAATGGGTCATGTACTAATTGACTAATATTCTTTTCACCACATAGTTAAGCAAAGTGAAGTGCTACAACAGTTTCTGGTGCTGGCCCTCCAAAAGCTCCTTCCCCTCCTAAAATTCAGCTGTAGGCTTAGGCCCCTTTAGCTTTGACAAAGGACCGTGGGGGATGTTGTGGTTAGTACTGCAGTACTGCAGACCATCCCACCAGGAGGAGGCAGGGAATCAATGTTCTGCATACAGCTGCTAGTGGTGTGTAATGTGTAGGTAACTTGAGCAGGCAGCCCAGCAGAAAACCTTGGGATACTTTATATGTCAGTCCAAAGTGGTGAGCCCTAAAGAGAAGTCTGTGTGGAGTTCAGCTGCAGTTTCTTTGGCTGGCCTTAAGGGGCAGTTGCATATTAAGGAGACGTTTTTAACTTAAAGATGAAAACAGTGTTATGTAAAGTTAAGGTTATTTTTGAAAGAATCTGAAAATTGGATGTGCCAAATTATATCCTGGGCCTTTTGATTTTGAATTAGCAACATCCCTGTACACAGAAAGGTGTACACAGTGATGACCTTTGTCCATACTGTGTATGTACTTCTGTAAACAAGGGTTTTCAATAAAGCAGGTCCATCATAAATTTATAGAATGGGTATGTGAAGTTCTGCATTTATTCCATCTGTGTTTAAATCTACTCTTTGTATTTCTACAGAGACTTGAGGTTTATGTCAACAGGAGGTGGTACAGACGAAACTATGCTTTCCATCATACATAGTTCGAAACAAGTGACACATCTCTTCCTTGAAAATTAAGGCAGCAAGAGCATGGCATGTACTGCACACTGAAGGTAACAGCCAGCAGGTTCCAAGCATAAAAGAAGTACGTAACATAACAGTAATTTTGCCACTTAAATGGTGGTCAGGCTATTTGACCAGTATCATTCTGTGTGTTCTCCAGTGTCAAATTGCTGCTATAGTCATATGATATGAAGCAGTCTGAAAACGTGGCCTCCTGCTAGACTTCCATTTTTTCAGTGGGTTACTGCTTTGGGGAGTCTAATGACCCACACTAAGCACCCAGAAAGAATGTCATCTTTAATCAAGGTGTATTTACATTTTAAAGCAGCTAAATTGCCAATTAAGAAACAGAGCTTCCATAGGTATACAGCTATGATTTCACTAGTAGCTGATCCTAATTTCTGTGTAGCTTTCAAGACCAGTGATTAAGGCAGAAATTATTCCCTGCCATATTCAATAACTGGCACAGTGATTTTGCTCTCTATTACAAGTACCTTGCCTTTTAATCTTTTAGCAAGTAATCATCAAAATGTGCTCTCTCATCTTGGCCAGGTTCCCATGGACTTGTACTACACTGTCGTAGGTGTTTGGTGATGGGAGTAGTGGTGGATTTTTATTTGTCGAATTCTACAACAAACTGTTTAATTGTATCTGAAGCTCTTGGAGGCCTGAACTTCAGCAGTAAGGTATCTTTTGTGTGTAATCATTAAAGGACAACATTAAAAATAAACATATTAATATGAAAACTATATGTAATTACGGAAGCTCTTCATAACCCAGCCATTTAAGCCAGAAGAGACAACCTGTATTATTGCAAAAAAACCCACAAGCCTTCAGTTGAATTATCCTTGTTATGAAATGGATGTATTAAGCATTTCCTAAGGAATCTCCATGATACATAAGGTTAACAGTTTTATCCTTAAAAGGTGGTATTTCGTTCCATCTAGAAATAAGCCGTATAGTTGCTAGATAGAGTCTGTTACATTACACTGAGAAATGCAATATATATTGTGTAAAAATGATGTAAAATAGATTTTAAAATTAAGAATAATCACAACTGCAGTTTTCTTATGCGGCTGCTATCAACTGCAAGTTTGTAAAACTACAATTAATGCTATTTGTATTTTTCTGTCAGAACAATACTTTTCTACTAGAAAATGACCAGTAAAACAAGTGCAGATGCTAAGGAAAATTCTAAAGCTGTGGTATATGGTTCTCACTAATGGTTACTCCCCTTCCCTGAAATATTCTCAAAGCAGTTTCACCTTTACATAAAGTCACCTTAACCATTCTAAGCAAAGCTGCAGGATCCCAGTTCAGATTTTAAACTGAAAATTAACTTTTACTAGAATTGAAGGGAAATGTGCTACGTTCTGTAAAACAACACAGAAACGTAGAGAAACCTGTCGCGTTTTGACTTTCAGTTTACATTTAAGTTCAGAATGCTCCTGTTAAAAGAACTTAAAGTACTGTTTCAGTACTTTTAAAAAGACCTTGTGTTTTCTAATGAACATGCAGAAAGTTGCTTGCAGGCTTCATGTACTCCTTGTGATTAAGCTTTCTCCCTTTTCCCACCCTGTCTAGACAGAAAATTGACAACTCTCCTTAAATGAAGAAACAGAGAAAGGCAGATTCTACCAGCAATTCATTTCCCCTCACTCCTCTGCACCACTGAAGAACTGGGAAGCAGAGGGGGAAGACAGCATAGCTCCTGTTCTGAATGAATTACCTTTTAATCTGCTTTGACATTTAAAACTGAAATCCTGTTGGTTTTATACATGATCTGAAGGACTGATGAAACGTTTTACCAACGTGTTCTATCAGAACTTAAGGGACACGCTGGCATATTCTCCAGAACAGGAAGATATGCATCAGCATATCAACAGGAAGTGCATCAGCTGTATAACTGGCTGTATCCACCCATTTTTCTACTGTGGATTACGTAGTTAAAAACTTCTTCCATTTATTAGGATGGCAGATTGATTGCCAAAAAAGAAGTAAGTCCAGAAATTGTTCAGACACCATGCTTAACAGGTAGAAATGTATTTCTAGATGACAACTATCAGGGGAGTGTGGCTGTCAGACATGTCAGTAATAATCATCTTAGTTGTTAGGTACTTTGCACTCCACTGTCTTGTTAAAATTAGACAAGTACATCAATTTTGGATGGCAGACTATGTCTTTACCATACTTGTTTAAGCAAGCCTAGCAATTCTCATATACAGACAATGCATCACCCTGGTGTTAATACTTAAAATGTTCTGTTACTTGTAGAAGTACTGTAAACCTTCTGACAGTCAAAGATTAAATCAGCTAGAAATACTGAGTTTTGTGAATTACTTTTACACATTCTGTATGTTCATATTAGTGACTTACATGGAATACTTCCATTATGTATGAAATCTAACATGAAAGAGATGTAGCATACACCCTCATTTCTTACTGTTGATAGTGCACCCCACACAGGATAGCCCCTTAAATGCAGCATCATGTCCAAAAATTACACTGGTATTCTACAGTAGAAAAGAATGTATATAAACAACACTGGCTGGAATACCACAGGACACTTTATTTGTCAGCTCATAAGTAGTTATTAATGGCAACACATTATACAGTATTTCTAGAAAAGTTTTTCAAAAACTGTAGATACAGTTTCAGTATGTTGGAAACTTACTCTTTAATGTTGAACTCAGCAATGGAATAGCTCCAACTATAAGAAACTATTAGGTGAGCCAAAGCTAAGTCTTCCAAATAAAATACCTTAATATGACAGCACCTCCAACAGGTGCATCATAATATACTTTAATATAAAATTCAAAATATCTGACTGTTTTCAGACATCATGCAGTGTAGAGTTAGGGATCATCACAGATTCAAATGTAAACATACTAATGGTAAAAGCTGTAATGATTCAATGGAATCATTAAGGTTTAGGTACTTTAAATATAAAGAAAACGTTTGTATTGTGTCCATATTGGCTGATCCCAATGATCTAAGGCATTTGCCTAAAAGAGCAGATGTGTAGGCATGAATTGTCACATTGAAATAAAAAAAACAAACCAAACCAACAGTTTTAAGTAACTTCTCCCCCAAACACACAGTTTAAGCTACTTAAATACATATACTATCAGACTTATTGACAAAAATTTTTTTGGGTTCCCACAATGACATTTGTTAGCTTCAGGCCAGCCTTTCACAAATCCACAGATAAAACCAATTTAGAAAGATCCAACTATTCTTCGTGCTTCTGCAACCTAGAAATTACTACATGCCTGAAATTGGAGCTCTAATTTAGAGCATGGCCAAGAATGAAAAGCAGAAAGAAAATCTTGTAATTCCACAATTACTTCATATCTGAACAACTGCTGTTTTCTGTATTTTAAAAATCAATTCTAAAAACTCTTTTCCCCTAAAAAAGCAACTTATTATCTAACAGTTTCTGTATATTTACAAATAATCCCCCCAAAACAGGGGATGATGGGAAAAATTCTGATACATTAAGAATAATATATATATAACATAGCATTAATTGTTAATGCAATTTCCAACAATTTCACTGTGTTTTATCAACAGAATATGCCACTTTAGATCAATGTCTTCATTAATTAAGACTATAGTTGAAATTACACCATTTAAACTGGAGGTAACATGTATCACATCACCTCAGTTTAATAATCCAGTATATTACAAAAAAGACAAACAATGAGAAGAGCATCATGTAGCATAATAGTTTTGTCTGGCTTCCTCTGGAAAGTGTTCTCAGTCTGCCCATAGTGGCACCCAGAAGTCCACCCGCAGAGTCAAAGTCATTATCCTGTCCATTAAAACAAAACAAACAAGCAAAGAACAAAATATGTTACTCAGAAATAAAAGATTTCCCCCTAAGCTTGCTAACTGTAGCTTCTCCTGGATTTATTTTTTCAAATTTGACAAAGCTAAAATTGGTTTAGGGGCAGTTTCTGAAAAAACCTTTCAGCCATTTATCTAGAGATATTTTTCCCCAAGCTGAGGCAAGTGTAAGCAAAATAGGCACTTCTAAGTCCTTATTTTTTGCTTCCCTCTTCTATATTTAATTGTATTTAAGAACAGAATTGCCTTTTTAGTAATACAATTTACTACTTGTAAATAAAGTCATATCTTAAGTATAAAGACCTTGGTTGCGCCTTGGAAGCAATGCATTACCTTCTGGAACAGAAATATTGGTGCTGTATTAGTCACATTTTACAATCAACAATAAGTTGTCAACCTTTTAATACAAATGTTCATACTACGTGAAGGAATTCTTTACATTATTAACTTCTTAATCCTGCCCCATATTTAAAGAAAGTTAGTGACTTACCATTTCTGATAACATTTTATTTTGGTTTTTAACTTCTGTTCCAATTTCAATTGAAAGCTATTAAAAAAAAAATTTGAAAAGTATTAGATATGAGTAATCAGTTACACATAAATTAGCAAAACCAGTTGAAAAGACATGACACAACTAGTACTTCCCCAGGTAAGATGTGAAAACAGTACCTGGTATTTTCAAAAATCAAAATAACAGGGAAAGTATTCTGTCAGTAGCCCTTAGGAAAGTAAATATTTGTTGTCTGACCAGAAAAGTCTAAAGACTTTTGGTCCTCCTCCCCTTTTCCAGAGAATTCCTTCTTAAGAATTACATGGACTCAAAAATTCAAGATATAGTCAAGTCTAAGCAGCAATTATCCATTTCCTGGAACAACTGTCAAAACTACTGGCACATGGCACTGAGGACCATGAGCACTCTGAATCAATGTTGCTGGAGTTGGCTCCAGTAAGCTGCTAATACGTCTCTCTTGACAGATTGCTGCTATGCTATAAATGGGATTTTCTTTTGTGAACTTGTCTGTTCCTTCTCTGCTTTGTGTCTTGAAACAGCAAGGGCGCAGCAGGACAAGGAGGTGAGCAGCAAGTGAGTCAGTGCAGAGATAATACCCAGGGTCATCAACAGCCTGGTGATAGATCACACAGCACATCCACAGCTAGTAGATGGGTCCAAGGTGAAGCCAGAAAATCAAGTTCTGTCACGGTTGGAATCAGAGTCAGACTAGGCACACACAGAGCTGCAAGACAATTTGCAACACAACAAAAGCAGGAGCCACCCAAGAGTCTTGGCTTAAAAGCAGTTCCACAGAGGCTTCTTAGTAGCTCTTCCTCCATAACAGTGCTTATCAGCATGCTAGCCTTGAAAAACCGGCTCAGCCCCTGGAAGGGAGGAAAGGTCCCTATGCTTTGATTTAGTCAAAACCTGTATGCTTTTTGTGACACAACCTAAATCTCATTACTTCTTACTGCTGCATTTGACTGCAATCTAAAATCAAGAGTGAAACTGATCTACACCAGGCTTCTAGGAAGATGATCTGAAGACTATTCCATATGCCCAGATTATTATATTGTGCTAAAAGATGCAACTGCAGAAAGAGCACACGTGCTACTCCATGAGGCACTATCAACTGTGCTGTCAACATACAGTGATTTTGAAATGTAACATACCAGAGAAGGAGACAAGAGGTGAAATTCTGTAACAGAGGTCACAGATTTTCTTCTTACCCCCTTAACTTACTCTAGATTATTATTCTAAACCCAAGGTTTTGATAGCAAGGACGCTACAGGAGTGGCTTCTGTAAGAAGCTAATAGAAGCTTCCCCTGTGTCCAGTAGAGCCAATGCCAGCCAGCTGCAGGACACACTGCTGGCCAAAACTGAGCCCATCAGTGACAGTGGTACCGCCTCTGAGATAATGTATTTAAGGAGGGGGAAAAGTAAGTGCTGTGAAGCAGCAGCTGAAGGTGTGAGAATATGTTAGATAAATAGCTCTACAGACACCCAGATCAGGGAAGAGGGAGGGGGAGGAGATGCTCCAGGCACCAAAGCAGATTCCCCCACAGTCCATGGAAGTTAACAGTGGAACAGATCTCCACCTGCAGCCTGTGGAGGACCCCATGCTGGAGCAGGGGCATACCCTCCTATGACCCCATGGGAAGCCCATGCTGTAGCAGGCTCCTGGCAGGACCTGTGGCCCTGTGGGGAGAGGAGCACACGCTGGAGTAGCTTTGCTGGCAGGAGCTGTGACCCTGAAGGGGACCCAGGCTGGAGCAGTCTTTGCCTGAAGGACTGCACTCATGGAAGGGACCTGTGCTGAAACAGTCTGTGCCTGAAGTACTGAACCCACGCTGGAGCAGTCTTTGCCTGAAGGACTGCACCCACAGAAAGGACCCACATTGCAACAGTCTGTGCCTGAAGGACTGAACCCGTGGAAGGGACCCATGCTGGAGCAGTTCATGAAGAACTGCAGCCTGTGAAAAGAAGTCACACTGGAGCAGTCTGTTGAAGACTGTCTGCTGTGGGAGGAACCCCACACTGTGTGAAAAGTCCTCCTCTGAAGAGGAAGGAGCAGCAGAAACATCACCTGATGAACCAATCACAGCCCCCATTCCCATCCCCCTGCACTGCTGGGTAGGGAGAAGGTAGAGAAAATCATGAGTGAAGCCCAGGAAAGGAAGCGTGTGGGGAAGGTGTTTCAAGGTTTGATTTTATTTCTCATTACCCAACTGATTTAAATGACAATAAATTAAATTTATTTCCCCAAGTCAAGCCTGTTTTGCCCCCCGATGGTAACTGGTGAGTGATCTCTCCCTGCCCTTACGTCGACCCATGAGCCTTTTGTTGTATTTTCTCTCCCCTGTCCAGCTGAGGAGGGGAGTGATAGAGAGGCTTTGGTGGGCGCCTGGTGTCCAGCCAGGGTCAACCCACCACATCATTAAATTTATGTTTTTAAACTAACCCTTAGAATTTAATTCAATACATGTGATGATACCACTATAATTAAATACTTACTGATTTAATGGCACTGACTTTTGTACGCAGACTTTCTGTTAACTTTTCATTTTCTTCTTCATAAACACTGTATCCACTATTGGTATAGCCATAGTTACCACTTGGTGCTCCATCACCTATAAAAACACAATAGTCAGTAGTTACAGACAAACCACTGGAGTGCTCTTCACATGTGGGAAAGCACTCTTGCCATTTTAAAATGCATTTCCTTAATGTCACCCTTGGCAACCAGGAAGAGGCACTACATGTTCCTGACAAGAGAATCAACGTTTTTCCAAATGTGTAAGTTATTTTGCAATATGCCAATCAAAGAAGGAAAACTGAGGACAGGATATGGTTTAATGCTATCAGAATTTTCCCCAGATAGTGCTTTCAGATGACTTCTATGGAAATCATTAAGCATTACATGGAGATGTAGAGGAAGCTTTGAGGGCACTACACAGAGCAGTAAACCTAACTGAAAACAGGGAAGTTGAGATCTCTAATAATGACAAATACCACTTGATCATGCATATAAGAGATGTCACATGCTTTTAAAGGAGAGAGCATTCCCTGATCCTTATATGTGTTTCTCTACAAACAACACCTCAGACAGAAGCCAGGCCACTAACTGCCATTTCTGTCACCATTCTGCAGTTCTGTTCCCACCCCTGCCATTGTTTTTTGGGTGACAGAGCTTCAGGGCTGTTACCCAGACAACTGACTTGGCAGAGTACTTGGGACAGAAGGGAATGAAAGCTCCTCAGCTCCACATATTGGCTTCCTTCAAACACTGATAAAGGTCTCCTAAGGACAGCAGCTGGACACAGGCCAATTAAAGCAGTGTCCAGTCTAGAAAAAAATCTAAGATCTGAAACCAGAGAAGAAAGAGGAAATCACATGGGCAAATAGAAAAGAACCATTACAAGCTTTATGAACAAGATCCTACTAGATTAATTCAACTAACAGTCCAGTTACAACAATAACCAGTATTTATATGGCTATTCAGAATGCCACACTAAAATTGCCTGAATGCCTTTGGACAATTCCCCATCAATGCATTTGAAAAAAATTTGTGTTTGGGTACCTTTGGGGAATTTTTGAGGAAAATGGGAGAAGAGAGACACCAACCATATTCACAGATAAAGCTTCATCTCAAACAGTTTCACTGTGCTTGCCATACATAATATTCAAATTTTAAAAGAGAAAATTAAGATGCTACTTTGACAATAGATACTGTTTTATATTAACCCATTTGTTAAATCAAAGTAATGACAATATTTTAGTTTGCACTTGTATGTTGTTTGTATGTTATTCTGTCAGTTAAGCTAATGACAAATTCTCAACAAGACTGGGTGAAATGTGTGTTTCCAGTTCACTGCAGTGAAAGTCAAGAAGTTTTCAGGACTGTTCTCTCCATGTGTTCTTTTACATACGCAACTACAGTACTTCCTATGAAGCAACATAAAATTTTAAGTATGTTTGGAAGTTAATATACCATGTAGCTTCAGGCCAAAATACCTTAACTATGATTCTTACATAGTCTGCGACATAGCAGATATGAGCAACTGCCCCAGAGCTTTTAAACACACACAGCTACTTCTGAATATGCAACACCAAGTGCAGCAAAGAAGCCTGGCTACAGCTGTTTACAGGAAGGACAGGAACTTCAGCATGGCCATTCTACAGGCTATCTTGCAACACCGCTCATTTACACACAGTATGGACATGACCATAACGTAACTGCACGGTGAAAAAGAGGTACCAGGTCGCTGGTGACAACAGCAGAAGTACTGGTGCTCACCTTCTATTTCCACCCTACTAAAGTAATTGTGGACTGACAGTTGAAATGTCAAGGCAAAGCATCAAATTTTACTGCAGCTGATAACAGGTATTTAAGTCTCCTGCTTGACCTTCCAGCAGATCTTTTAAGACGTAGTTTCCAGATGTTCCTCAAGGTATTGTTTGCCAGAGACATGCTAAAATAAGGCACACTCTTTCTCCTTAGCTCCTTCCATAAACATCTGTCACTTCACTTTTTCAGAAACAGCGTACTGAGCTGTGTGGCCTTCAGTCTAATCCCCTTCAGTTCACACTCAAGGGAGAGCTGTCAGTCTGACAAAGAAGAGCATTGAAAACGGAAGCATTACTAAATGCCTACCTTTTTATGATAAACATCAAATGCCTCTTGATCTAGTAGGAAGCATCCCCAAGACTTGTTTTATCTTGGGAAAACTCTATTACACAACACAAATTGAAGGTGTAGAAGTAAACCAAAGGTGGTATTACACACACACCTGGTTTAGCCATATGGCATTTAGCACACACATAAACCCCCCAAATGCTCACTTTCTAGGGAGAAGAACCAGAACTCAGTCATAAACTTCTAAGGCATAAACACTACCTAAGCTTTACAGTGAGATCACAGCACCTACATGGGAGTTCAAAGTTTCTTTATCGTCATCAACATGACCACTGGTTGGAAAATGAGGCCTACGCTTCTCAAAACACTCACCAGGAACTCTGAATATTTCTGCATTTACACCAGACTGTATTTGTAACAAACTGAAAATAGCTGGAGAGCTTTCCCCCCAGACACAGCAGGAGAACATACATAAGTACTAAAATAAAACCAACTCAGAACTCGGAAAGGACTTGACTGAAGAGTGACAAATATGACCATCCATGGAAACACAGCTCAAATACTGCACTAGAACCATCCGTGAAAACAACTAAACATCCCAGCGCTGCTCCATGAATCCAGCTGAGCTAGAAAGAGACACAGGCAGGGGTGGCTGCTTTTCCCACCCAAAGCTCCCAAGCTCTGCTCCAAGCCTACAGTCATCAGCACAAACCCTGTAACTCGGAGACACATATACGGCCTTCACACAGCCCCCCCACACACACCCTCCGAGAACCCTACCGGGAGACGGGTCAAGGCCGTGCCGGCCTAAGCTCCCCTGGGCGCAGCACGGCCCACACGAGACCACGGGCTGCCCGACCCGGCGCGCTTTTCACCCCCTCTCCGTTTACCCCTCCAGCACTAGGCGAAGGTGCGCTGGCAGCCGCTGCCCCGCCAGCCCGGGCAGGGGGTGCGGTGCGGTGCGGCCCGGCGGGAGGCTGTAGGCCCCGCCGCGGGGGCTGCCGCGCTTACCCAGCCCTGCGCGCCTCATGGCTGCGGCCCGAGCTGCCGAAGAAGGAGGATCAGGAGGAGACAGAGGATAGGCGCGACCCCCGTGCCCTCGTCTGAGGGAAGCGAGGCCTGACGGAGCAGACACAACCCTACTCTAACTCGGCCACCCCGCTCATTCACCGGCGAGCGCCACGACAGCGCCGGCCCGCACGGGCCGCTGGGTAGAGGACAGCCCGCGCGGGGGCTGATGGGTGCTGTAGTCCTCAGGGCACGTTGGGGAAGGCAGGCTGGGCCGGGCGCGACCGTGACGGGTTCTTGACAAAGACGGCCCCACTTAGTAGCCTTGAGGGGCACGGTCTAGCATGTGTATCTGTGGGGCCTCCCTGTCCCAAGGCATTGACCCAACGTGACGTTTGTCAGGGCTCAATGGAACAGCCCATTCGGCTCTGTCTGTGTGTGAGCCACAGGACCTGAAAATGGCGTGCCTTAGTACAAGTGTACAGTTCAGGGGCTGGAGTGTGAGGAGATGGTTTGGGGGCAGAGGAAGTTGGCACGGTGGCGTCGCGGGGGAGCCTGGCTGCCGGCGAGCAGGTGCTGCAGAGCAGCTTCCTCCTCACAGTCACCTCTGCAACTTCAGAAGAGCAAAGTCTATCCAATCGAATCAGTCATGAATGTACTCAGTATCTTAACTACTTCAGCTTGCATTAAAATCATAAGAATTGATCCTGAAAGGCCTTCATTTCAGGAGGCATCAGTATGTTACTGGTTTACTGCTTGAAAAAGCAAGATTTCTCAGTGGTTGTCTTGTAATACACAGTCAAGAAATTAAAATTCGGTGCTGAGTGGAGCTTTACCACCTTTTCCTTCTATTTTTCTGCATCACATTTTGTTTATAAGTAACAGGCATGCTAGTGCAGCATACAGCATCTTGAATTGGAAGCCTGCAATTTATTCTGTTCTCTGAATTATTTAAATTTCATTTGTGAAGAAAATTTCATTTGTGAATATAATTTCACCTTCAGTCTTTTCCAGAAATGGGTTTTACTTGCTTTTATTAAAGTTGTGACTCACTCTGTATACCAGTGGATTGAATTTATCTCCCAGGATGATACCAAAATGACTTATCAGTACTCCAGCATAAAGCAAACAACATGATGGAGTCCATTTAGTTTGCTATTTCAGGTGAGTCGTCGATTGGACTAAAGAAGCTGCATTAGCTTTTCCAATTACAGCATTCTGCTGTATCATTAATTGTGTTGGTATTTGTGTTCTGGTAGAAAATAACACACCCTGTGCTGGACCAAGACCCACTTATATAATACGAGCTATATAAACGCAGCCCAAAGCTCCTACGTCAATGAGTGTGCAGTATAACAGGAATCTTCAGCTAGGCAGGTAAAGTTGTAGAAAGAAGGATGAAATAATTCTTTCTCAGTAAGAATGCCTGTAATTCCTCTGTAATTCCTGTAAGACACCCCATGTATCTTTCTGCAGTTTAAACAAAATTTCAACTAAGGCATCAGCTGCACATACAAAACAGGAGAGAAGGCAAAGGAGAAGAAATGAACTGCAGAACTGCCACCCAAACTGTGCAGTGTCCAAGGGATTTTGTCAGGAACTCAGCAATTCTGAGGAGTTTGCAAGCTGCCACAACTGGTGACTTGAGACTTGATTTACATCAGGGAAATGCATCAATTGTTTCAAAGAAGGGGGAAGTACTATCACCAGGTTAAAAGTGCTGTTTGTGCTAGGACCGTCCAAAGTTCACAGATGAGCCCGTTTCATACCTTGCCAGGACAAAGAGGTCTCTTAAAGGATTACATGCTTAAACCAACAAAATTTAGATGTTGTAAAATCTACAGGAGATTAACAGATTCTGGGAAGACCTTCTTCACTAGCACTTCAGTTTTGCTCTGTTTCAGTAGTGCTCTGTTATGAGCAATATCCTCATCAAACACAATTTTTGAAGGAGGGTTAGTGTCACAGTCTGTGCAGTAACTAAATAACCAGAGAGTAAAATTGAGGCTCCAGGGGAAGTAGGAAAACCGCTAGTCTGAGTCTCTCATTGTTATGTATTATTTTATTTACGTATTTTTGTTCATACACAATCAAAAAAGTGATTATACTTGGTATTGCTATATGAAAAGATTTTTCTTTACAGTATTTGCATATTCTATGTCACCTTTCTTAACCCCCCATGACTACTCTTACATTTTTCAATAAATGTGTATTTATACATAATTAGGTAAAAAAAGTGCATCTCCCCACTAGGGCTGTAGTTGTAATTCATTGTTAAGGGGTTCATTTTTCATTTTTACTTCAATTTTCTGTAAAATAAAATCCCAGTTAGCCTCACCTAAGGTGTTCACAACTCATAGTCTTTATATCTACAATCTGCTTATGCTTTGAAATAACATACTGAGCGTATATGCAATTTATAAATAGCACATTTAATTTTTCACTGTTTCTTATAGCAAAGTGTGGAAATGATACTGACATGATTAATGTTTTGAATCCATTTTTATCATACTGAATTTATGTTTTTTTCATACACTGAAAATGCCTTGTAGAAAACGTTAATTATATATTTCTCCTGACATTGCAGTGATGAAATCATGATTCCATCTCGCAACAGAGGCTGGACATAGAGGTTGGCTGGGTATTATTAATATTCACTATGTTTATGTTATCCTTTCCATTGATCAGTTCTATTCATATTAATAATTCCACAGAATGAGTCTGCAAAATAAATACCATTTTTCTGTGGCCATGATGAATTTTACTCTTGCTGGCTTTGTGGCCCATTCCCTGCAAGGCCTCCCTCATAGAGGCCATGCCCTGGACTCCCGGCTTTGGGAACCAGCTGTGTGTGGTTAGCAGGTGTGGCTGCAGCTCTTCCTTAGCAGTTCTTCCTGCCAGGAAGCATGCGCGAGTAGTCAGCAAGTGGTTTTAAGATGATTGACTCGTCAACATTCTGTTTATCAGTGACAACATATGGGGAGAAAAGGCACGTAAATAAAATGAAGATGCATGCAGTCTGCGAGCTTATCTGTCTTGACTGTGTTCATATAATCTTCTAATAGTAGCCTACACAGGTGTGTCATTGTCAGACACTCTGCTTAGGCAATGTGTATGTCAGTCTCCTTTCCCAAATATATTAAATACTCCTTCTTTAAATAAAAACACCTTTCATAAAGTGGGTGTCTATCTTTTATAAAAGGGGCGTTCCAGAGTCCTACTTCTCCTACCATTTTTCATTCTCTTTACTGTCTCAAATTAAACAAGATGAATACATTTATGTAGGAAACATTCCATTTATTTTATTAGTATATTATTTCATGCCTCCATCACAGAAGTAATAAAAAAGAAAACAAAACCAAAACAGGGAAGCGATCTGAAAAGGTCCTGTATAATCAAACTTCCAATACATAGCTATAAGCCTATTCCTATTAACATGATAATAATAATGACATGATTATCATTGAATTATTAAATAAGTAATCAGAATGTCAGTGTTCTTACATGTTTGATAAACAGGTTTTCACAGTTGTCATGATTAACTTTCAACAATTGTAGGCTGTGAAAACAGCCTAACTAGTCACAGCCTCATTAAGGAGTTGAAAAGCTGATATTGCATGATATTATGTTAATATCAAATATTGCAGTCACTGTTTTGTTAACCTGTAAGCTTCAATTATTAATAATGAATTCTAGTTATAACTTGATCCTTTGTGCAATCAAGTAACAGCTGATGAGACATTTCTAAATAAAACTAATACATCAACCACATAGAAGCAGAACAGGATCACAGAATATTTTTAATTAGGATTTGGTGTCTTCAAAAAGGAATAGTGTCAGCATCTTTCATCAATATCCTTGTCACTTATTATCCTTGTTTATTCTAATGTTATTTCACAAATGAGAGCCCTCAGAATGTTTCTGTTCCAACAAACTCAGGTCACTCAGATGTTTCCTTCCATATTCTGAAAGCTGACAAAAATGACACTGAGTTTAGGATGTCAACAGCCCCCTTCTTCCTGGTTCTAGTCTACAAATAGTGCTGTCATGAAAAACAGAAGACGCCATGTAAAACCACACCTTCCATAAGGCTTTAAAATGGCTGAAGGTGCCTGATAACCACTGCTGCTTGTTGCTGCCTAGACTGGCAAGCAAAGAATTAATCATACACATCACAAGTGGAATATTGTATGCAGTCATTATTCGAGTCCTTTAATGATAAGGACATATGTAAATCACTGCAAGTACTGTCAAATCTCTCTTTTTTACCCGTCATAGCGATTCAAAACTGTCAAAGGGAACTATGGCTGTTTCTGGTCTTAATGCACTTTCATCATAGATGGCAACTTCTTTCTGGGATGAGGTGTGGTGTCATGTTGTCTCACTGTGTATTCAAACTATGTTCATTTTTTTTATGATGTTTTTTTAATAAAACCCTTACCAAGTATCTGCCAAAATACTTAGAAGACAACCAAGAAGGTACTTGGACAAGATTCTGGAAACTCCTACTACCTTTGATAGAACTGTGTTGCTGGGAATCAGGGGAGCTTCCCTGAACATAGGCAGTTGTAGTCATCCATGCCTAGTCAGCCAGGGTCTTTCCATACACATGTTCAAAGGATCATTGATACTTTGTACCTACAAGGACTTCATTCTTGTATCTTTGTGTATAGGATTACAGGCTGAAAAATCATGTAAACTCATAATGTTTTAGAACTCAGTAAATAGAACAAATTTTACAGAGTGTATTTATAGGGAGCTGTGGCTGTAATGCATTCCACTTTATTTTCTTGTTTCTGATTTCAGTATCATTTTAGTTTTTCCAGTCATGGTAAATTCTGAGGTAAGCCTTGGGAAGCTTGGTTGGTCAGACACATGTCAGCAGCAAAGGACAAGTTGAGGGAAGGAGAAGATTAGTAGATGGTTGGTTGCATCAATAGAAAGTATCTAATAAGAATTGTCATCTTTACAACACTTTTAAACTTTGTTAACAGTGAAGGCATCTTTCTCCACATTTTGACATCAGCTATGTTTGGGAAGTATTGAGCTTTATATTAGCTCATGGATAATATAATTGAAATATTATTATTTACTTAATTGTTATTGCT